GGTGGTGGGTGTCGTAAGTATGGTGGGTGTCGTAAGTATGGTGGTGGGTGTCGTAAGTATGGTGGGTGTCGTAAGTATGGTGGTGGGTGTCGTATGTCTGGTGGTGGGTGTCGTAAGTATGGTGGTGGGTGTCGTAAGTATGGTGGGTGTCGTAAGTATGGTGGTGGGTGTCGTAAGTATGGTGGGTGTCGTAAGTATGGTGGTGGGTGTCGTATGTCTGGTGGTAGGTGTCGTATGTCTGGTGGTGGGTGTCGTATGTCTGGTGGTGGGTGTCGTAAGCCTGGTGGTGGGTGTCGTAAGCCTGGTGGTGGGTGTCGTAAATCTGGTGGTGGGTGTCGTATGTCTGGTGGTGGGTGTCGTAAGCCTGGTGGTGGGTGTCGTAAGCCTGGTGGTGGGTGTCGTATGTCTGGTGGTGGGTGTCGTATGTCTGGTGGTGGGTGTCGTAAGCCTGGTGGTGGGTGTCGTAAGCCTGGTGGTGGGTGTCATAAGTATGGTGGTGGGTGTCGTAAGCCTGGTGGTGGGTGTCGTAAGCCTGGTGGGTGTCATAAGTCTGGTGGTGGGTGTCATAAGTCTGGTGGTGGGAGGTTATCTTGGTTATCTTGAGATGATTTCGGGGCTTTAGTGTCCCCGCGGCCCGGTCCTCGACCAGGCCTCCACCCCCAGGAAGCAGCCCGTGACAGCTGACTAACACCCAGGTACCTATTTTACTGCTAGGTAACAGGGGCATAGGGTGAAAGAAACTCTGCCCATTGTTTCTCGCCGGCGCCTGGGATCGAACCCAGGACCACAGGATCACAAGTACAGCGTGCTGTCCGCTCGGCCGACCGACCACCCGGTGGCGGGTGTCGTAAGCCTGGTGGTGGGTGTCGTATGTCTGGTGGTGGGTGTCGTATGTCTGGTGGTGGGTGTCGTAAGCCTGGTGGTGGGTGTCGTAAGCCTGGTGGTGGGGTGTAGTAAGCCTGGTGGTGGGTGTCGTAAGCCTGGTGGTGGGTGTCGTAAGCCTGGTGGTGGGTGTCGTAAGTATGGTGGTGGGTGTCGTAAGCCTGGTGGCGGGTGTCGTAAGTCTGGTGGTGGGGTGTCGTAAGCCTGGTGGTGGGGTGTCGTAAGTCTGGTGGTGGGTGTCGTAAGCCTGGTGGTGGGGTGTCGTAAGCCTGGTGGTGGGTGTCGTAAGCCTGGTGGTGGGTGTCGTAAGTATGGTGGTGGGTGTCGTAAGCCTGGTGGTGGGTGTCGTAAGCCTGGTGGTGGGTGTCGTAAGCCTGGTGGTGGGTGTCGTAAGCCTGGTGGCGGGTGTCGTAAGTCTGGTGGTGGGGTGTCGTAAGCCTGGTGGTGGGTGTCGTAAGCCTGGTGGTGGGGTGTCGTAAGCCTGGTGGTGGGTGTCGTAAGCCTGGTGGTGGGTGTCGTAAATCTGGTGGTCATATTATGGTGAACTATTTCACTACCACTTACCCAGGTAGCCAGGAGATGTGCTGTATTGACACACAAACCACATTCCTGTCTGTTGAAGGTGGCGGGATGTTTCTGGGAAATCCCGACCTGCTACCACCACAGGTTACGACCACTATCATCCCCACTACCTTCAACACCGTCCTCGTTACCATCAACACCATCACCAGTACCACCACCATCATCACCGCTACCACTGTCCATATATATCCACCTTTATCCTCAACATCCTTACTACAATCCTCATCATTTATACCACCACCGACATTAGAACTACTGCCATCACCATAACCACCACAATCTTCACCACCATTACTACCATCATCTCTCACGGGCCAACACAAAGCTCTGAGCTACAAAGACACATGTTTTCCACCAAGGCATACCCAGAAACACTCCCCCCCCCCACCTCCACCCCCTGACAAACTCTCTGGTTTCTGTTATCAGTGATCTGAAACCTGGTGTTTCAGATCAGGTTTCGGATAACGACTCGGCTTTTCGTGCAGGCTGGGTCGTTATCATCCTGCAACTGGGCAAGCAAGATTGATTGATGAAGATTAAGCCACCCAAGAGGTGGCACGGGCATGAATAGCCCGTAAAGCAGGTAAGAGGAAAGAAAGCTAGTAAAAAGCCTTAGAGAAGGGAATATTGCCAGGCCTCAGGACTAGCTACACTACAAACCGGACACGACAAGGCTCATCTCATCCAAAACCTTAACAGGTCGGAACAAATTGGAAAAAAAGGTAATTCAAACCATTTAAAAAGAATGTCTAATGTGATAGAAAACTTTATTCATATATAGTTGTATAGTTATAGTCGAGTTGGTTTATGGAAATTATGAGTATGACTCATCTAAATAATTTATATTTTCAGCATAGCCTGTAATCATTATATTTATCTACTGTAAAATGTAGGTTTAGAAGCTTAATTTGTCAGTAAAGACAAATAAAGTTTCTATACCTAATGACACGTTGAATTGCAAGTTAAATAGGTCCCTTAAGACATAATTCAATCATTCGTTTGTGAATATTTTCTTCAAGAAGCCAAGAGTATGAAGCTCAACAAGCCACAATGTATAGGACAGACCCCAGAAGATATAGTTTCACCCATATGGCCAAAAAAAAATCCATTATTACTCAAGAAAATCAAGGAGACCTTTGGCAATCTACAGACTTTCTGCCCCCCTGCCCCCCCCCCCCCAATCTAGATTACATGTGATGATTGCTCTCAGGTAAATCCAGGGATGTCGCGGATGTTCACTATAAGAGCAACACTGGAAAGTCACCGCTTCCCATCCCACAGGCGCGAAGATGTAAACACACACACACACACACACACACACACACACACACACACACACACACACACACACACACACACACACACACACACACACACACACACACACACACACGATGTGGTGGAGGCTGACTCCATACACAGTTTCAAATGTAGATATGATAGAGCCCAATAGGCTCAGGAATCTGTACACCTGTTGATTGACGGTTGAGAGGCGGGACCAAAGAGCCAGAGCTCAACCCCGCAAGCACAACTAGGTGAGTACACACACAACTCGTCAATTCATCATAGAATTTAGAAGATTTTGTATTTTAATCTGTTGCGTCTCTTAATCCATCATCTTCTTCACGCGAATTGTACAAGAAATCCACACATATTGCGCCTTTAAGACGTGCTGTACTAAGCAGATGTTACCACTTTAACACGAGCAAGTATACCATAACACGAGAGAGAGAGAGAGAGAGAGAGAGAGAGAGAGAGAGAGAGAGAGAGAGAGAGAGAGAGAGAGAGAGAGAGAGAGAGAGAGAGAGAGAGAGAGAGAGAGAGAGAGAGAGAGAGAGAGAGAGAGAGAGAGAGAGAGAGAGAGAGCCAGAATGATTGTGGGGGCCAAGTACACCCTTACTATCAGCTTGAGCGACTGTCACTCCATCCGTTGCCCTTACGGTAAACAGTGCCTCTTCAGTGCCACACCAGTGTCAACAACGTTCCATGTAATGCTAGCAGTGATAATTCAATTCCAACAGTGTCGAAACCTTTAGCCATAGTGTCAAAATCACTTTACGATAACGCCAAACTCTTCACCAGTGCCAATTAAGTTCATGGAGTGAAATACTATTGTCAACAGCGCCTACGCAGATCTGACCCATTTTTCGCCAGTGCCAAATCATATAAAAATGTACTCGTTAATTTTCAATAATGGCTGATGTTTAGTAAACAACAGTGACCACTTCTTTCAAACATGTGTCATTCTCATTTCGACAGTACAGTGTCTTTCCGGCAGTGCTTATTCGTATCCGACAGTGTTTGGATGTCCGGATTTCCCTTTCGGAAGTGTCAATTCTTTCCCGAAAGTAGCCTATCAGTTTCTGGCGACAGTGACTAACTAGTCTCTTTATATTAGTTCCAATAATTAATTTCCTCTTTAAAAAAATTGGTCAGCTCCTTACCAACAATGTCAATGTTTCTTTTCAAAAGTGCCAAACTTTCTTTACGAAAGTTCCATCTTTCCTTTAGAAAGTGCCATCTTTCTTTACGAAAGTTCCATCTTTCCTGTAGAAAGTGCCATCTTTCCTTCAGAAAGTGTCAACTTTCTATACGAAAGTTCCATCTTTCCTTTAGAAAGTGCCAACTTTCTTTTCGTGACACCTTTCTTTTAGAAAGTGCCTCTTCTGGAGTTCAGATTCCTTTCCATCATCCTTCAAGTTTTCCTGAATAGCACAATAGCAAGCACAAATAGGTGAGTACAAATAGGTGAGTACACACACACACACACAAAACTCGTCAATTCATCACACAATTTAGAAGATTTTGTATTCAATATTTGATATTAATCATCCATTTTTTTTAAACCCTCAAGAGAAAACCCTTCTTTCAATAACTGGATCAATACAAAGACCCTTACAATTCTCATTTAGTATAACTGATAAGTGTCAATCATTGCCTCAGGAGCCACTTACGTGCAAATAATCAAATGATCAAATTGATCAAATGATCAAACGTGATCAAATTAATATATAAAGTTCAGTCTGTTAAAACATCCAGAAATATTACAATGATTTTTCGTAACCATTTAAACTCTTTACTGGGAAGTATTAACATTTAAGGAAATATTACAAATCTGTAATAAATAAAATATTGCAACATAAGGCTAGGCAGTCTACCGTTTAATAAGTGGCTCCTGTTTATACAACCCGTTCTCGCACTTGCTTATAGTCAATATCTTGCTTACGAATAAGTGCATATGTGACATACTAATTTATTGTGAATATTTGAGTTGACCTTGAAATGCTGAATAGAAAACCACAACCTAACCTAACCTTCTTAGTATGTTAAGATATTACAATTAGTACTGAACCTATACCTATATTGATATTACAGTTTTATAAAAATAATAAAACAAAACTAAAATATTTAAATAAATTGTAAAGTAACTCAGGATATTGTCACATTTTGTATGAAATCTCTATTGTTTAATAAAACCGAGAGAAAAAGTTGGTGACCTGAAAATATATGGCTTGGAATATGTCACGTATGTACTTATTTATTAGCGAAATAGTGACTATAAGCAATATGTCATATATGTGCTGTCTTGTGCGAGAGCAGGTTGGTTTATAACAAGAGGTTAGCAGTCTACCGTTTAATAACAGTGGATCCTGTTTATAGTACAGCACTTATTTCCAATGGTGTAAACGTCTCCTGAAACATGCCAGGATGAAACAAACTGAAACAAGAATGTTCAGAACTGAATTTTAAGTTAAAACGTAAGTACAGACATTACGTATTTAAAAGTTTCCTACTGTCCTCTGTTTATCAGCGCTATTGAGAGGCAGGAGAGAATATAATATATTTATTTGGAAATTAATTTTGACGGTGGCAATAATATGATGTTAGTTAGATTAGTATGTTGATTTGATCGCGGTATGCCGTTTGCTGATTGGTTTGTCCACGTTATGCCGCCTGCTGAGTGGTTCATTTCGCTATACCGCCCACTGATTGGTTTGCTCCTGCCATCAGGTCCGCTGATTGGCCATTGACGATAGCTGTTCCTTTGGCCATTCGTTACCAACACTCGATGTTCTATCTGTGCTCTCAAACTTAACCTAAACAAAGACTTATTCTGTCATCAGGCAGATCTAATTAAACTTCTCAATAACCACTAAAGTCAACGACCATGTATATCACAACACCAGAGAGGCTCGAACTACGATGATGTGGGTGATAAACAACTACATCACGATATAATAATAATAATAAAAATAATAATAATAATAATAATAATAATAATAATAATGTTTATTCAGGTAAACGTGCATTGAAAATGAGTTACAAATAGAATGTTGACGTTCTAGATGGAGTTAGAACATACAATGCCTAAAGCCTCAGGACTAGCTACACTACAAACCGGACACGACAAGGCTCATCTCATGAAGGGTACGACAACCAATCACATCACCTCGACAAACTTGGGGCATTGTCTTTAAGGAACGTGATTTTAACCTCTTTTCAATTCAGATTTTTTTATTTTAAGTTTCAACGAAGACTTTAAGTTCGGGATTCCCGAAAAATTTTTCAAGTGATTGTATTTTTTTTATTATTTCCATCTCGAAGTTCAACAATGTTTGTATTTTATTAACGAAATCTATCTTCATAAATTTAATTTATTGACACTATAGTCGTTTTTAGTTACATATAATTTGTCGTTATTGAGGGAATCTATAATCTTTGTTATTGTTTGTTTTGCGTGATGTATTTTAATCACAGAAGTGTATAAACACTACAATTATAAATTGGTCATAATATCGGCTTTTACAATAATGTTCATAGACAAACCCAACTTGATTTCTAGTGTGTGTTTCTTAGTCAAAGTTCCTCGGTAGTTGCGTGCACAAATGGTCTAAATAAACCAAAGCCTCTCACTATACACTTAAGAGTACAGTAATCATTTATTATATATATATATATATATATATATATATATATATATATATATATATACACACACACACACACACACACATACACACACACACACACACACACACATACACACACACAAGACTTCCACAAACCTCGTTTTCCGATTGTCAAATCCGAATATATCATTAATTTAGGATATTTTAGCTTAATTAGGCTGTCTTAGGTTCGGTTGGGGTGGTCATGTGGGTTCTAAAATTTGTTAACACATATTCTTTGTGTACGATGGGACTTGCATCTCCCCTACACAGCGTTTCAGGTAAAGATTGCGAACATTGCATTTTCATTGCAGCGTAAGTCTTTGGCTTCACGACAATGACATCAGTTGTGTGTCTTCAAATACTGCCAAAAGCATTTGGGCAATCAGCAGCACCCAGGCCCCCAGCAGGATGGCTGCCTCATCAACGCATCGGTCGCTTAGTCCTGCTTCTCTTACTCCTGCTGGTCATCTGGGCGGATCTCGCTCGAGCAGTAAGTCACGTTCTCTCTCTTTTCTAGAGCCTAGACGCGTTCATTATTTTATAGTCTTTTCAGAGGATTTTTTCTTCCTATCTTCCTTAATTTGTATGTTTCATTTATCCGCTATCTAATCTTTCTATATTTTCCTCTTCCCACAATTCTCCAGATCAATATTGCGTTCATAGTAGTCGCCATTATTTAAGCATTCCTCTGTCTCTATTATTCCTAGCCAGTTCTACTGATTTGTCACTCCGAATAAAATACAACTAGTTCACCTAATAAAAACATACGAACCTAACCCACCTACCTAACCTAATTAACCAATACATAGAAAACGTGAATGCCTGAGAGCTGCTGCTTTTCATAGTACAGTACTTTGTAATTCGTAAATTGGAGACCATAAGGTACAAAATGACCTGCAGACCCCCTCCCAGTAACCGCCCCCCCCTCCCCCACCAGGCCCCACACCCTCCCCATTCTTCAAAACTCGCCTCATCCATCGAATTGATTATAAACGCTTGATATAATTGTCTTTCTATGCCCCAAATGTTCATGGATGAATGTTCGGACTCCGCCTCCTTCAGATCTACGACCCCAGCGTCAGGTCGAATAAGGTGAAGGAGAGGGTCGACCTCAAGCCCATCTACCACTCCACCACCACAGCTCGCTCTCCAATCAGGGTGTACGCCAACAGGAAAAGGACTCCAGCGCCTCCTAGACGACGTGAGTCTCAACAGATCTCAATGGGGGCTGGGGAGGTTGCATATGGGAATAGGGGGTAAGCTAGACTATGCATTTCCAAATAAAAAAATATATATGTAACTCGTCAGAGAAGTGTGTCCTTGAGAAGTGTGACTATATAACCTAGCAAACGACATACTCTTTATTATGTAATTATTCGTTTATTGGCTGTTTTTTTAGCTGTTTTATTCGCGATTCTCTGTTTCTTCTTCCCCCCCCCCCCACCTTCCAACATCCCTAAGATGGCCACGGAGATGAAGACGATCCTGAAATCAATTCCTGGATGTTGGACGAGGGCACGGCTCGCCACGGTCACCATGGTCTTGGGAGACACGGTCCTGGAAGGCAGGGTCCTGGAAGGCAGGGTCCCGGAAGGCAGGCTCCCGGAAGACATGGTCTCGAAAGTCCTGTTCTTACAATTCCTGTTCTTACGAGTCCTGTTCTTGGGAGTCCTGTTCTTGGGAGTCCTGTTCTTACGAGCCCTGGTGTGGCAAGACGCGGGCCCCCAAGACAATCACCTCCGGGTCGCGCGACCACAGGTCACTCTCCAACAGCTCAAGTGGTACCTGGCGTGCTGACCTGCCCTGAACCTAATGGTTTATTTCCATATCCCCAGGTACTGTACCATGGTGGTGGTGTGTGAGGGGAGGGAGAGGGAAGTGCGTGAGGGGAGGGAGAGGGAAGTGCGTGAGGGGACGAAGAGGGAAGTGCGTGATGGGGAGGGAAAAATGCGAGGGGGAGGTGAGGGTAGTATGCCAGGGGAACAAGCTCTAGCTTCTGGACCCTGATTCTGAGCTCTCAGCCGTCTGGGACAAAGACCTGGGGTCCTCTTGTGTTTTGTCGTAAAAAATTTCTACCTCTCCATACAGACACTTGATCTTATCCACTGTGTGTTTTTTCCTAAACATTTTGTATGTTGTGATCAAGTCTCCTCTTGTTGTTCTCATTTGGTTCAGTGACGAATGGTTCAGTGTCACTACTCTATGCCTACATCTCTCTTGGTGTTCATGACGGTAAATGTACAATACTTTATTTATATTCTCATTTACTAGGTCCATTATCGCCATCTTCCTGGGTGTGCTTGTCCCAAGATGTCCTTGTGCCAAGATGTGCTTGTGCCAAGATGTGCTTGTGCCAAGATGTGCTTGTGCCAAGATGTGCTTGTCCCAAGATGTGCTTGTGCCAAGATGTGCTTGTGCCAAGATGTGCTTGTCCCAAGATGTGCTTGTGCCAAGATGTGCTTGTGCCAAGATGTGCTTGTGCCAAGATGTGCTTGTAGCATCGAGTTAGTCTCCTAGTCCCGCCTTCCAAATGTTCTCTGATTAATGCAATGATTCATTTCTCATGCTTTTATCATATTTACATAATACAATTTTAGATCGAATTAGCTTCAACGACTTCTGCGTCTAAGCTATTCCACTTAATGACAGCTCTAACACTGAATTTTTCTTTTCTAATGTCCCTGTGACTCTTTAGCGTCTCCATTAGCTTCTATGACCCCTCGTTCTGCTGTTCCTAGCTTTGAACAATGCTTTGTCTACTTTGACAATTTTTCTTAGGATCTTATATGCTGTTGCCATGACCCATTTACCTGTCCTTTCCTCCAGTGTGGCAAGGTCCAGTTTTTTGTCTTTCCTCATAGAAGATAACCTTAAGTTTTAGAATGAATCCCAGTGCATATCTTTGAACCTTTTCTAGTTTTTCCCTGTGCTTTTTTTCAGGTAATGATTCTATGTCGAGGACGCATATTCACGAGTGATCTTACCTGTGATGTGTAGGGCCCAAAAAGCCCTTTTTTTCCAAGTTTCTGAAGGATAAACAGACGTTGACCAGTATACCATCTGCTGCTGTTGTTATTCTTCTAATGTGGGCTACTGGTATTAGATTTGGGATCATATTTACTCCCAGGTTTTTCTCCCTTCTGATTGAAGAATGTGTCTTCCTTCCACCCTACACTGCTGTACTGGTTTTCCCACTCATGTTCGAGTCCTCGTAATTTCGCATTTAGCTGGATTAAGTCCTAGCAACTCCAATCCTAGCAAGTCCAAGTCTAATCATTTTATGTATATATTTGTTCACATTCCCACCATTTCTATTCAAAGACAATTCTTCTACTCCCAACAGGACTGTTCAAAGTTCATCAACTGTGCGGGGGGTCGGCCTTACCTACAGTCGTGTGGCCCAGGAACACTTTTCAACTGGGAGACTGGCAACTGTGATTGGCCCCACGCGGTGCCCTGTGCCAAAACCCCCATAGCCACGTCTGACAGGGCCACGTCCACCAGGGCCACGCCCACCAGGGCCATGCCCTTAAGGGCCACACCCACTAGTGATATGCCCCGCAGGGCCACACCCCCTACCAAAGCGACCTCTGTTTGGTCACGATTTAGTAGTGTGAGTATTGTCGTATTGTGTAGAAGTGGTGTGGTAATAGTGGTGGTGGTGGTAGAAGCGGTGGATTGAGTGCGGTGGTAGTAGATGCGATGGTGGTAGTAGAAGCAGTGGTAGAAGTGGTAGTGGACAATAGTTGTTGATGTAGCTATAGTAATAGATGTAGGTAATAAAACTAGAATTAAGAACAGAAGCAACTGAGACATAATAGCCCTTCAGTTGTTTGATGTGTAATCACCTCCTCCTTATCCTCCTCCTCCTCCTCCTCCTGCAGGAGTACACGTCAGGTGTCCAAGATACCGTCAAGCAGACTAGGACGACAGAGGTTTCCAATTGTGTACGAAAAGATGCACTGTCTTATATACTCATTCATATTTCTATAGTAAATGATTTCATAGTTAGGCTCAGGTTAGGTTGGTTTAGAGTTAGGCTCAGGTTAGACTGGTTTAGAGTTGGCTCAGGTTAGACTAGTTTAGAGTTAGGCTCAGGTTAGGTTGGTTTAGAGTTAGGCTCAGGTTAGACTGGTTTAGAGTTGGCTCAGGTTAGACTAGTTTAGAGTTAGGCTCAGGTTAGACTGGTTTAGAGTTGGCTCAGGTTAGACTAGTTTAGAGTTAGGCTCAGGTTAGACTGGTTTAGAGTTGGCTCAGGTTAGGTGTATTTTAACAAGCTGACCTCTTCTTAGATTCAGCCAAGCTCGACCTAATTACAAAAAATCATAATATATAACAATGCATCATATTTAAAAGTTACCTTTACTTCATATTTTATTATTATTTTAAAGTCAAAGTTACTTCATATTTTAAGTTATTTTGAAAACTAAGTATATTAATGAATGCGTCTTTGGGGTCGACCGCATCTTAAAGGAGCATGTCTGGGGGTTGGAAATCCTTAATTCTCGACCACACAGATGGTCAAGAATTAACGAGTACCAGCCTCCAGAGGTCGAGAATTAAGGATTCACATCTTTATTGATGATCTTTCTTCCCCCTGATGTTTCTTTATGACCACCTGGGGAAGAGTCATGGTCAGTGTGTGAGGTCACCTGCTGGAGTCACGGTGGTCCTCAGGTCAGCCCCATGAATCCAGTAATCTTCCTTAAACCTTAAGTCAACAGTTTATTTACGACCACCCGGACAAAACATGTCTCTATTTTAGCGTTTTCTCATGGAGAGTCCATAGCATGTGTTGTTGTGCAGGCGAGGAGTCACAATAACGTGGCTGAAGAATGTTGACCAGACCACACACTACAAGGTGAAGGGACGACGACGTTTCGGTCCGTCCTGGACCATTCTCAAGTCGATTTATACACAATCGACTACTGGACCAGGACGGACCGAAACGTCGTCGTCCCTTCCCTCTTCTAGTGTGTGGTCTGGTCAACATTTGTTGTTGTCCTTACTTTAATACTTGATTACTACAAAGGAAACCGGAATTTTGAGGCTTCAGGCTGTGGAGAATCAGCTGTAGTGGTGCCAGGCGTAAACAAATCCTTGCAGCTGTAATTACCGTAGATGTGGTTGGAGCTTACAAGTTGGAGGCACGTTAATGAGAACACTGTTACAGTTCCATGTGGTCATTGGACCTCATCTCTCTTATCTGTGCAGAAGCTGTCCGGGAGCGCCAGGTCTGCCGCCGACGCCGTTGTGGACCTCGCCAATGATATTAAGGAGAACGTGAGTGCAAAATTTACACCAACACCACAAAAGTTGTATGATATTAAAAGCGCATATCAACATCATCCACTTATAAGATAGAGGTAATCTTCATGTTTTGTTTCCCCGGGTCCACAGTTGAACAAGAAATTCGGAAAGACGAGGGACAAAGGGAAGAGACTTATGAAGCAGCTCGGAGTGAAGGACCCGGCCGTGATGTGCCCTCGCCCTGACGGACAGTTCCCCTACGTCAAGGTACGTCAGGGACCGACAGTAGTAGTAGTAGTAGTAGTAGTAGTAGTAGTAGTAGTAATAGTAGTAGTAGTAGTAGCAGTAGTAGGCATCCATCAGTCTCAGGAGACTATGGAGTCGCGCTCTGGTTGCCGGTCTGGAGTGGCCTCACCAGGGCGCAAAGCCAGGGTAGGTTGATTCGGGGGAGAAGCTGTAGTGATTAGGGAATACTAAACATTACACCACTTCTTTCCTTTAGTTGATCAAGGGAAAGGGAGAGGGGGATGTGGTGCCCTCGTAAAGCATAAAGAAGGATTTACATATATGTAACACGGTGTGGCGGCACTCAGATTACCGAGGCCGACGGAAGAAGTTAGTGTATGAATGTCTACGAGAGGACCTCGTGACGAGAGAGAATGGATGAGTGTGCACGTCTAAACCTTAATGACTGAGTCCATAATTATGGACTTCAATTTACCGGATGGTAAACTGAAGACGTCAGCGACAATCCGGTGTGATCGGATGTCCGGTAGATAGCCGGAAGTCCGGGAAATGGCTGCAAATTACCTATGACAGTTCAGGCAGAGCGGAAAGAGCGTCATAAGGACGTGCCATAGAGAGTTACACATGTTTTTAGATGCTTGAAGTGGGTAGAATGGTGTAGGGCATCGCCATGTATTGCCTGAACAACGAGGCGAGTCATGGATGAACACAGAATGAGAACTGTGAACTAAGTGTACCTAAAATGTTTCCGCAATTGTAAAAAAAAAAAAAGTGGTTTCTCTCTGTAATATATATGACTCATGTCATTTTTTGTTTTATGCCCCATGGCTGGGTCGTGGCATTAATGCCATGGGTGCTCCCCGCAGGACTGTGCCAAGTTCATCAACTGCTGGCGAGGACGGGCAAGTCTCCAGCGGTGTGCCACTGGCACTCTCTTCAACCCTGCCAAAGGCAGGTGTGACTTCCCAGGGAGAACGGTGTGTCCCAGAAGCAGGGCGCTGGAGGGTGAGTGTGGCCGTCAATGGGTATACACCACACACACACACACACACACACACACACACACACACACACACACACACACACACACACACACACACACACACACACACACACACACACACACACACACACACACACACACACACACACATCAGTACCACAACACATCTAGTCACAAGTACTGATCTTCTGCTATATATTGCTTCATACCCTCCAGCAACACAACATACCACGCGGTTTTACCTCTTTAGAGTAGTACTGAGGGCAAGCACTCGCAAGCTCCACTAGCACTCGAGGCAGACATGACGTGTGAACCATTGCATCTGAAGCAGAGATTTTGAGACTGTACCTTGTGTTCTCTCAGGGGATGCCAGAGTGCAACATGTGGTGCCTCCCCCGTCAGGTCAGAAGCTGAGGCTCAGGGGTGGCACTGTCCCCTGGGCAGGATATGTGCAGGTGAGGAGAGGGGAAGAAGGTGTATAAAGGGGGAGGGCAAGGGAAGGGAATTGTCAGGGGGGAAAGCGACAAGTCATTACGACTATATTGCACTGGGAAGGGGTCAGGATAAGGATTTGGGATGGGAAGGAATGGCGCCCAACCGCTTGGACGGTCGGGGATTGAACGCCGACCTACATGAAGCTAGACAGTCGCTCTACCGTCCAGCCCAAGTGGTTGGGCAGAGGGGGGGGGGGGGCAAATACAAGGGAGGTATGTACGTATATTAGTCAATAATTATACAATTTGTTAATTATATTTTCCTGCATTGGTTATATTCATCTTCTTGTCTCTGTCACTTATAGCGTCTTCCTTGTTTCTTGTCCCAACCACTTGGGCTGGACGGTAGGGGCGACGGGGTCACTTCATGCAGGTCAACGTTCAATTCCCGACCGTCCAAATGGTTGGGCACCACTCTTACCCCCCCCCCCCCCGTCCCATCCCAAATCCTTATTTTGACCCCTTCCCAGTGCTATATAGTCGTAATGGCTTGGCGCTTCCCCCCCTGATAGTTCCCTTACCTTGTCTCTGTCAGTTACCGTCTTCCTGGGGTTCTTGTGGCACAGGTTCCGTCTAGTGTGTCACAACACTATTCCCCTCCCACTGTCTCAAGTTCCACTCTGTTCCTCTTTTTGTACTTCCATCTTTCCTGTTACCACTTAACATTTCATTATATTATTTCTTAACATATTGTATGATTCTTAAGTCACCTTTATTATATTTTGTATCTCGTTCGTTCATGCAACAAAAGTTCAGTTTCTTATGTGTTTAAATAAACTACAAAAAAGTTTAATTAGTTTTCTCTTGTGTGTGTGTGTGTGTGTGTGTGTGTGTGTGTGTGTGTGTGTGTGTGTGTGTGTGTGTGTGTGTGTGTGTGTGTGTGTGTGTGTGTGTGTGTGTGTATTAGTTTCAAAAGTCAGTATTTTGCAAACTGAATTACTTAATGTTTTTTTTCCATTTGTTTCGCCTTCTGAACCGTTTTTGGTGTATATTCCTCTCACGCTGGCGTACGGCCGTCTGGCGTACGGTCGTCTGGCGTAGGTGAGCGGAGACAGAGACGGCTGGCGTCTACTGGCCGACGCCCCCCAGGCCTGGACGAGGGACGAGGCCACTGTTGTCTGCAGAAGCCTCGGCTTTACCAGGTGAGCCACGGCCGGCTCCCAACCCAAAGGTCCCGGGGTCGATTCTCGCAACAGGGCGCCGACGTTTGACCAACGTTGCCTTTAACCTCAAGCCTCTGGTCACTTAGGAGTAGATACCCAGAAAGTTATGCAACTGTTGTAGGTTGCATAACTCCCTGGGTAGGTCAGTAGTAGGCCTAGACCACAGAGCGCCTTCTCAATAAGCCTACCAGGCTTCATGTCCCCCAGCAATGAATAACCACATCAAGTGAGAATAAAAAAAAAAAAACCTCCCTAAGCTACATACAAAAGGATGACTTTTTTATATACAAAAGGAATCTAATATCATGGACTTAATTTAAAAAAATCCAAATATTTGGTGTAAAGTGTTTAATACTGAACTGTGACCTCCCTGCTGGGTCTATAGAGGGGCAGAGGCGGCGACCCAGGGCCTGATCTTCGGCCTCTTGCCCATGAGGAGTGCGGGGGTCCGCCAGGTGGAGTGTGAGGGCACCGAGCAGCACCTCCTGCAGTGTCGCCTTCAGCTGGGCTCTCCGGAAGACCTCGACAAAACGGTGGTCGGTGAGTCTGTCTGCCTTTAGCATTATAAAGGGTTGCCTTATATATATATATATACACTTGAATCATAGGTATATGTCTTTGGTGTTGTGATGACTGAGCACCAAAGTCATCACAACGCGGGCTCATCAACTGAGCCCGCGTTGGTGCTCAGTTGGTGTTTATCGCTCTCTGGAGATAAGACACTCCTCTACTGACTCCTTGTACAGCTCTTTCTGCTAACTAGAAGTTTACTGTTTGCTCTCCTGCTACCTAGAAATCAACGTCTGATTCTTAGAAGTTAGTTTATCTCCTGCTATTTAAAATGGAGTGTCTGCTCCTATTATATATAATTATATTATCTCTGCAGTAACTGCTTTTACTTTTATCCTGCTGTCGCTTCCATATCTGCTGCTGCTGCTGCTGTTTCACATACTAGTGCTGTTACTTCTAGCACAGACAGAATATATGTTGATGTGTTTCATACTTTCATGACTAAATCAGAATTCACGACGATACGTGCAAATATTCCTTTTAAACGTTTGGTCCCCCATTAAATTCAATCTCATTCATATGTTGTTTCCTTCCTTGATATCTCTCTCTGCATCATCACCATCATCACCCGCTGCTGCAGGGGTTCGCTGCCTCAGGAACTGGGTGTCGGAGTGCAGCGTCGTGGGAGGCGTCCGTTGGGGCCACAAGTGCTACTTCGTACAGACCTCCCCCCTGGTGACGCACGCAGAGGCCAGAGCCAGATGCTCAAGCAGGGGCGCCAGGCTTCTCTCTATCACATCTCAGGTGAGTCTCAGGTGAATCTCTCCCTCTATCGCCTCTCAGACGAGACGGCATCTCAAGTCATTCTGTTAAGCTATTGAAGATGATAACGCTTAGGTGTATTTTTGTGTAGATCGTTTCGTGTGAATATTTCTCTCATTGAAATGTGAATTTATTTTGAGTCAGGAGGAGAACGACTTCGTGTCGGAGCTGTTGAACGCCCAGGGCGGTGACAGCCTCGGCTTCCACACCGGCGGCGTCAAGACCAAGGTCTTCGGCAACACCTTCTTCCTCTGGCAGAATTCCTCCACTCCTCCAGTTCCAGCTTTCCCATTCACGCACTGGTGGCCTGGTGAGTGGTAGTGGCGGTGAGTGGTAGTGGTGGTGAGTGGTGGTGGTGAGTGGTGGTTGTGTGTGGGGTAGTGGTGGTGAGTGGTGGTGGTGGTGGTGAGTGGTGGTTGTGTGTGTGGGTGGTGGTGTGTGTGGGTGGTGGTGTGTGTGGGTGGTGGTGTGTGTGGGTGGTGGTGTGTGCGGGTGGTGGTGTGTGGGTGGTGGTGTGTGGTGATTGTGGTGGTGTGTGATTGTGGTGGTGTGTGGGGATTGTGGAGGTGTGTGGGGTAGTGGTGTGTGGATGTTAACATGGGGAGGGAGGGAATTATCAGGGGGGAAAAGCGCCAAGCCACCACGACTATATAACACTGGGAAGGGGTCAGGATAAGGATTTGGGATGGGACGGGGGAAGGGAATGGTGCCCAACCACTTGGACGGTCGGGGATTGAACGCCGACCTGCATGAACTTGCTAGCATCTCAAGGGATGCTGGTGCTGCTGATGCTCCTACTACTACTAACCTATCGGTGACTGTGGAAAAGTGAGGTTTGGTTTTATTAGCCATGCTGTACCTGTTGCGTTATAATTAAATTATTCTGACGTTCGAATTCTTTGTTGCATATGGTCTTAAAGTTGTGGATGGAGGTGGCTTCCACAACTTCTTCTTTCAGAATTTCTTTTCTTTTCTTCGACTCATTTGTGTTTCCAGATTCCACTAATGTCTTCTGGTCCTACTTTCTTTCAATTTAAAGAGGCTGTCCTTGTCCCCCTTTTCACCCGTGAATCTTGTATGATATGATCATGTCTTCTCTGTTTCTTCACCAAGGTTATGAGGTCCAGTTTCCTTAGTCTACCCTCATAGCTTAACCATCTTAGCTCTGGTAATAATATGGTATCTAAAGGCATTTGATAAATGTCACCATGAAATACGAGAATAACATGGTGATGGGTGGAGGGGCACGCAGTGTCTCCACGATACCTCCAGTAAACTAGACAAACCTCCTCCACACAGCAAGCACACGGATGACATCTTCAAGAGAAAACTGGACTGTTTTCTAAGAGAAGTTCCGGATCAGCCGGGCTGTGGTGGGTATGTGGGCCTGCGGGCCGCTCCAAGCAACAGCCTGGTGGACCAAACTCTCACAAGTCGAGCCTGGCCTCGGGCCGGGCTTGGGGAGTAGAAGAACTCCCACAACCCCATCAACCAGGTATCAACCAGGTATGACGATGATATCTCGACCTCTGAAGAGGATATACAAGACGTTTTCAGACAGCAAACACCACTTGCCCCGCTCCTGTGCCAGGTAAGTTATGGGCTCACCACAGCCCGTGCTACTTGGAACTTGTTCCGAGTAGCTTAATCTATAACAACAACAAACACCACAGTAAGACTGGAGACTGGAGACTGGAGACTGCGTGTGGCGGGTTCCAAGAGGTAAGGGAAGCGCCGCCTGGCCAGGCTCCCTCGTGGCCTGAGTACCAACAGGCTCAACCAAGGTAGGACAATCTCTCCTGTTCTGAAAACCTTCATCGTTGCATTTGAAGACAATACAACCAAGGCTAGAACTGTTTTTAATAACAGACCACAAATCATCATATATAATGAAATTCTCAAGATGTTTAATATCAGAGTATATGATATAAGACCAGATAAACAAAAGAATTTAATCGTAGTGGACCACAATCACAGCAATCAACTTACAACACTTAATGTAGGACCCATGGATACATTACTGAAATCCATGGGTACAGAGTAAGATGCTACGAGCCATTAAGGGACAGACTAATTAAACCAATAGTCAAACATGCCCTAGCCATTAGTGACTAGGACATCCAAGCATAATTTCTATGTAGATTAAATTCCAGTCAACGCTCAAAATGCTTTTTCAAACGTTAATCATATATTAGAGGGAGAAGATCTCCCACAACATATAAAATATCAAATACCCAAAACATTGGCTAAATATCTCCAGTCAACCTATAATTAGCTCACATTTGACCAAACCGCCCAGACAAAGACGTAATCGAAACCCTTACTACAAAAAACTACAACGATAAGCTGGTGCCATAAACACAGCATCCAACCCTCGCCAACACGTTCCTCAAGTCTTATCTCTAAAGCACTTTGGTTTAGTCGTCGCCCTTGTATCGCTCGAAAACAACACCAGCAAATCCCAAAGCCTTGCCAAATCTACACAGACGTGCCATTTTGACGCGTCTGCCAACATTACCACTGGTGCAGACATCGAAGGAGGAGAAGAACCTTCAAGCAAACTGCACGTAAGATCAAGAGGAAATGTCACCATGGAGTGATAGCCCATACAATGAGATCATGGAAATAACAGGTAAAATAGGGAGATCAATATTACATATTCTGTCAAACAGAATGCAAAGAGTAAGACAAACCAAATCAAGTGCAAGCAATGTAAAAAAGTCTGATCACAAGGCACAGTCCTTGGGTCACTACTTTTTTCCATTCTCTTATCAGATACAGCCAAAAATACAAGTTACAGCTTCGAGTCATTCTTTTGCAGACGATGCGAAGATTAGCATGAAAATTTATTCTGCAAGAAACATTGAATAACTACAAGCTGATACCAATAAAGTCTTCGACTGGGAAAATAACATGATGTTTAACAGCGATGTTCCGGGTACTTACGTATGGTAAAAATTAAGAACCTAAACGGAATGCAGGATACAAGACAGATCTACTCAAAGAAGCGAAACAACATGTAAAGAAACAGGAAATAATGATGTCATAGGACCTAACATTTAGTGGGCATAACCAAGCAAATGTGGCATCAGGCAGGGCAATGATTGGATTGATTACGAGAACCTTCATACCCAGGAATTCCACCACAATGCTCCAATTATTAAAGTAACTTGTGCGTTCACGCCTTGAGTATTGTTCGGTACTCACTTCCTCCTTTCAAAGCGGGAGAGAGTTCTGTAACAGAGTGAATACAGAGAACATATACGGCACGCATAGACACAACAAAGCACCTAAATTATTGGGACCGTATCGAGACGAAACGTGCCAAATAATGTATGCATGGGAAAATACTGGAAGGCCAGGTCCCGAATTTAAAATTACGGTAAAATTACAACCTACTGAAGCGGACGATATGGCAGGAAATGCAGAATAGCCTCACTGATGAATACAGCTGTCGTAGGCACAATCAGAGAACACCGTTGGACATCAGAGGTTCAAGGCTATTCAATATCTTCCTATCAGACACAATAACAATTGCCGGAAAAACAGTAGACGCATTCAAGAATAAATTAGACACGTTCCCAGAAGAAGTGCTGGACCGACCTGTTTGTTGGTGATATGTGGTGATAGCGACCACTTCAAGCAACAACCTGTTGGACAAAGTTAACAAAAGTCAAACTTGGCCCCCAAGCCAGGCTTGTATAACACAACTAGATCCCACTCTAGATATTACAGCCAGGTAAACCTCTGCACTTTTAAAATTTAGTTGTTTGCTTCACAGAGTGCGTATTCCAGGCTGGCGTTGCATATTCCAGTGTTGGTCTAACATAAGCTATGTAGATTACTATGTAGATTACCTTTATCTACAAATCATTCTCTCGCCTTGGTTATCCTTTGCATTTCATCAACTGTGCCTATTCTCAAGCTAAACGAAATTTCTTTCATCCTAAACCTGCTTCCAACACTAGTAGCACTGTACTATGCCTTCCCTTCATATCTGAACTCAAAACTTTTACCAATACCTTTCGTCCTCTTGACATTAAACTCGCCTTTCGACAAACTAACACACTTCGTAGTAATCTAGTTCACACTGCTCCTCCTGCTTCTTATGCTGCTGGTGTCTACTCTATTTCCTGTTCATCTTGTCCTCTCCAATACTTTGGCGAAACTGGCCGTACACTGAATGATAGACTTAAAGAACACAAGAGAAGTGTTAAGTCTGCAGACACTAACAATGCTCTCTTCTGCCATGTGAGGGATTCTAATCATCCCATTGATTGGGCTTCCTCCAAAATAATCTTTCCTGCCTCTACTCTACACAGACGCCGTCTTGTAGAATCGGCTCTTATACACAATGTACCCAACATGAACTTGAGTCCTGGCTTTGTTGCTGTGGACTCTTCCCTTTCACAGTATATACTCAAATGCTCTAATCTTTCTAACAAACGTGACTTAACATAAGCTTTCCCCCTTCCATTTCTTTCTTTTTTCTCTTTCCTTTTCTTTCTCTCTTCTCCCTTTTTCTGTTCATTGTCTTCTACGCTCCCTTGCTATCCTCTTCTTATTCCTATTACCATCTCCTTCGGTAGTTATAATAGGAGCTGCCTCGTATGGGCCAATAGGCCTTCTGCAGTTCTCATTATTACTACTATCCCCTACACCTTACTTTCCTCCTCAGCTCTCTCTTGCCTATTTATTGCCTGTCCCTACCTGTCCTCATCACAATCGACTTGAGAATGGTCCAGGACGGACCGAAACGTCGTCGTCCCTTCAACTTCTAGTGTGTGGTCTGGTCAACATAGAAAGGTTTCTAAACGACGTTCAAATATTTGCCAGCTTCTCATGTGCTGATGTTTCAAAGTTTATGTGAGCCACTGGTGTTAGTGTTTGGAATTATATCCATTATAAGACCTTCTCCTCTTTCCGATTCCTGTAATTTCCCTCCCCTTATGGTGCAGATACCTTCTGGTCTCTTTGTTTCCCTATCCAGTCTTCATTAATTTACACTTCTTGCGATTGAAGTCGAGCAGCCATTTGTCTGCCCACTCCTGGAATTTGTCAAGGTCTTCCAGTAATAAATTTTTTTGGTTGTAACCTTGGGACAAAGGTGTTATATTATCACACACACACAGCACCGCTCCTGTGCCAGGTAAGTCCACTACGGGCTCACCATAGCCCGTGCTACTTGGAACTTGTTCCGAGTAGCTGAATCTATAACAACATTATATTATCACTTAGTTCAAAACTTCATTTTACACAGAGAACAAACAAAACAAATCACGCAATTGCTCGTTATTAATTATAACACTGAACATCCGGTCATTGTACAAGGCAATTTCGTCCCAGTTGGATTAAAAAATCGATTATTTACACACATTTTTTCCCTATTTGTGTCTACTCCGGTGAGAGTCAAGCGAGGCTTCAAGGTCAGGCTCATACTATGACATTCCCCCGTGTTCCATCACTCAGGCTGGAACGTAACAGGGGCGGCCGGAGCAGGAGCGGGGCCTGGAGCCCTGGCAGCAGCAGCAGGAGGAGAGGCTGGGGACGCCAGCGCCACCACCAAATGTGTGGTGATTAGAGACAGCTTCCCCATCCTTGAGGGCGACGGGGGAGACTCGCTCTCCAACGGTCCTGCTGAGTACTTCTTCTGGGAGGTAATGTGGCAGTGATGAGGGTGTGTGAGGGAGTGTGTACACCAGTGTACAATAAGGGTGTGTGAGGGAGTGTGTTCACCAGTGTTCAATGAGGGTGTGTGAGGGAGTGTGTTCACCAGTGTACAATAAGGGTGTGTGAGGGAGTGTGTACACCAGTGTACAATGAGGGTGTGTGAGGGAGTGTGTACACCAGTGTACAATGAGGGTGTGTGAGGGAGTGTGTTCACCAGTGTACAATAAGGGTGTGTGAGGGAGTGTGTTCACCAGTGTACAATAAGGGTGTGTGAGGGAGTGTGTTCACCAGTGTACAATGAGGGTGTGTGAGGGAGTGTGCACACCAGTGTACAATGAGGGTGTGTGAGGGAATGTACAATGAAGGTGTGTGAGGGAGCGTGTACACCAGTGTACAATGAGGGTGTGTAAGGGAGTGTACAATGAGGGTGTGTAAGGGAGTGTACAATGAGGGGTGTGTGAGGGAGTGTACAATGAGGGTGTGTGAGGAAGTGTGTACACGAGTGTACAATGAGGGTGTGTGAGGGAGTGTGTAAGGGAGTGTTCAATGAGGGTGTGTGAGGAAGATGGATGTGTGAGGGTGTACTTATCTATCAGTACTTTCCTAACAGTGTTTAATTGCATTACTTTGCACTCCAGCAAATGCAAGGTAATGAAATGCGTGTAGAGGACGGCAGGGCGGATACTAACAATATAGGAGACACCAGTCTTGGGGTCAGATAGAGAAGAGGCCTCGGAAGTACACTTCCCTCCTGAAGAACACACAGGCCAGTTGTGTACTAAATCTGAACAGGGTGTTACTCGTGATCCTGTATACTACCTGTATCACAGCATATTTTGGATATATGGTGTCAACGTCGAGTCCACAGCTCGTCAAACACAGTCTAAACACAGGCCACCAGACGTCTCCCAGAGCTGTGTGAATTACAAACAATGGTTAAAACAACCAAACTTCAAATTACCGGTATCGAGACGAAATGGAACATTATCACCACATACAAAATACTCAAAAGGATTTGACAGTGCTGATAAAGGCATAATGCTTGATGAAATATCATCAAAGTTTTGTAAGTCGAAGTTAAATCCTCAAATAGACCACCGGATATTATAAAGAAGAATTTTATATCAGTAGTAATGAGATTAATTAGAAAACAGTCATGAAAACGAACTTTTTACATCACCTCAAATTGATGCATGGCAGAGCTGCACACTATCTTTAAAGAAAGTTGAGAGGCGGACCCAGAAACTGGAAGTCAACCACCACAAGCAAAGCTAGGTGAATACAACTAAGAGCTAAGTGAGTATACACACACACACACACACACACACACACACACAAATGGAATGCATTAGGAAGTGATGTGGTGGAGGCTGACTCCATACACAGTTTCAAGTGTAAATATGATAGAGCCCAATAGGCTCAGGCAGAACCTGTACACCTGTTGATTGACGGTTGAGAGGCGGGACCAAAGAGCCAGAGCTCAAACCCCGCAAGCACAATTAGGTGAGTACACACACACACACACACACACACCTGGGGATTGATATCACACTGAAACTAGTCTTCTGAAGCCCACAACAAACGGATATCATCAAGCCATACACTAGGTTGGCCAACATAAGACCTGCCTTTATAAATCTAGGTAAGGAATCATTCCGGGCCTTGTTTATCCGTCAAACCAATCCTAGAGTATGTGGCTTTATCGTGGAGAACATATCTAGTCAAACACAAAACAAAATTGGAGAGAGTTCAGAGGTATGTCATCAAATTAATTCCAGAATTACGAGTTATGAGTTACGAGGAAAGGCTACTGGAAACTCCACGTCGCTGGAAAACACAAGAATTAGGGGAGACATGACAAGGCAAACAGTGACACACTATGTATCATGGGGGCTTCTCAAAGGACACACACACACGTGGAAACTGAGTACCCAAATGAGCCACAAAGATAGTCTTTTTTATTAAGTTCCAGACTAATGAAGAAATGGAATACACGAAGAAGATACTTCACAATACAAGTTTTGAAAACAACATTTTACAGAACTTCAAATGCCTATATGACAGCCTAATAGACTCAGGAATCTGTACACCAGTCGATTAAAGGCTGGGAGGCCAGACCAAAGAGCTGAAGCTTAACCCTTACAGGCGTTACAAGATGAGGACATGAAGAATCTTGATTGTACCTGGTGAGTAATGACCACGTTTGGGCACAGGAAGCCCCTGGCTTAGTTTAGGGTTTCCCCCTCTTATCCTAACGGGTTTATCCACATCTGGCACACTGTTCCATATATACATTACTCACAAGCATTTCCGCTTAGCAAAATATACAAATCATGTACATTCTAAATATCCTCTCATGTATTCAATTGTCGTCGATACGGAGAAGAATACGTCCGCCCACATTTGGTGCCACGACTTGTGGATGACTGAACGCGACCAGAGTACTATAAGCGTTTTCTAATGTCAACAGAATACAAAGTCACACAAAGACTAACACAGCTGTTGTGATGTAAATATTGCCTCTACCTATTAAAATGAAAAGAGACATTGCTGAAATATTCCAACTGTCTTTAGAAATAATACTCAAGTTGGAGTATTCTAAATAATAATTATAAAAATAATACTAATAATAATAATAATAATATACAATTACAGAGAGTCAGATTAAAGGGGTTATATAGAATGTAAATGATTTGTAAATTTTTCCTAAATATACAAATCCTAAACTAAGAAACTAAACTAAGCCAGGGGCTTCCTGTGCCCCAACGTGGCCATTACTCACCAGGTACAACCAAGATGCCTCATGTCCTCATCTTGTAGCGCCTGTAAGGGTTAAGCTTCAGCTCTTTGGTCCGGCCTCCCAACCTTCAATCGACTGGTGTACAGATTCCTGAGTCTATTGGGCTGTCATATAGGCATTTGAAGCTCTGTAAAATGTTGTCCTCACAACTTGTATTGTGAAGTATCTTCTTCGTGTATTCCACTTCTTCATTAATCTGGCTCTTAAAGAAAGAAATCGCTTTTTATAGCTTTCCGCTTTTGCATTAATAGTAACTCTCTGCTTCATATATTGGGTTTTATATTATTTAACCAATCCTTTATTTCTCCTGTAATTCCACGTATCGGGATATTTTGGGAAAATATTTCATAATGGGACTTTTGGAAGTGGTTTAAAGGTCTGCGTGACTGGCCACAGTTTCAAGAAAGAGGATCACGTGTGTTAAGCCAAACCTTAACTCTGTATGTTGACCAGACCACACACTAGAAGTTGAAGGGACGACGACGTTTCGACTTGATCCATCGACTTGAGAATGGTCCAGGACGGACCGAAACGTCGTCGTCCCTTCAACTTCTAGTGTGTGGTCTGGTCAACATACTTCAGCCACGTTATTGTGACTCCTCGCCTGCTTAACTCTGTATAACCACGTCGTTGAGTGTTGGTGGTTTCTTCTGCTCTGGCAGGTAGCTGACGATGGCGTCCCTCATAACACATTTTTTTAATACCACATTTCTTAATTTCCTGATCATTACGCAACGTTTGCCCGAAACGCTATGCGTGCTAGTGGCTTTTTTTTTTGACGGGCTCACCATAGCCCGTGCTACTTGGAACTTTTTGTTCCAAGTAGCTAATCTTTAACAACAACAACATAGTGGCTTTACAAGAATGTAAAATCAACTTTATTTCTATGTTTTCTCTTAACCCCCAATGTACCTTCTTGTATTTAAATAAATAAATAAAATAAATAAAATCTTGATAATTGTCCAGGACGGTCTGAAACGTTGTCGTTTCTTTATTTTCTGATGTGTGGTTTGGATATCCAGAGACTGCTATGTGTTCCTTGTAATAAGTATTTAACAAAAGAAATCAGCAAGTGGGAGAGACTATGAGGCTGAGTAGCACCCTCAGTGTCGCAGGATATTCAAAAGGTGCAGTACATAAGCTGATTCACAACATATCATCAATGGAAAGGGTACAAATCCTCCTCCTGAATGTTGTCAAATTACTGATGAGGTTGAAACAATAATGAATGTGCGTTAATAACTTTAATTCCGCCTTGATTTGACGTGACTGTAAGTGGAAGTTAAATCTTCAAATAGTCCACGTGTGTATGTGTGTGTGTATGCCCGCTGGAACAACACTACCATACTCCCTGTTAGCAACGGCAGGCATTTGTTGAATTTCCGGTCACATGGCGCTCCTGGTGGATATCCCAGCATTTTTTGATTACTGAATGTTCTCTGGATAAAACTGGAACACTGACGCGGTCGGACTTGTCTACCGCTTTCGAAAGGTAAGTAAAAAAATATCCAGTTACCCCTCCCCCCCCAACCCCCCTAACCTCTTTCGAAAGGTAAGCAAAAACAAAATTACCCTGGACCCTCCCCCCCCCCTCCCCGCTAACCTCTTTCTGGAAAGCTGAGAGTAAAAACAATTATTTGATATGGAAATTCATTATTTTCTAACGTATGATTTTTATTTTCAGTTGACTAATTGTGCGCTGAAGCTGAATTTTGTTTGCGAAACAAATAAGGTTAACGTAGGTAAGTATGTGTCGAGTTGGGGTTCTGTAAATGTGAACCACAAATTTGATTTAGAATTATTTGGTCAACATTTTGTCAACTTGTTTACTAAAATCTCTGTTCAATTTATTATTGCTTAAAGCATCATTATAGATGAGGATTATACTGATTATATTTGTGTATGTAATTTGTTTACACTATGAACTTCCATGAAATATTCCTGAGTTATATATATCCTAAGTAATGCACATTTTTAATGAACAAATCCACAAGGGCCGTGACGAGGATTCGAACCTAGGTCCGAGATCATCCCAGACGCTGCCTTTATCTACTGAGCTACGACATGGTCAAAAAGAGTTGAAACCGAAGTTCTACTGAACTTACTGGATCCTGCAGCCTCTCCGAGACACAAACCAGGATTTTACACAACTCCCCCCTGCACCTCCCCTTGTGGATGTGTTCATTTGATGCATCACGCTATTGTGATTTCTGTGTGTAATGGACAATTTTCTTTTAACCTCGTGATTTTTGTTTTGAATGATGAGGTTGCATCAGGGGTCGAGGGATGGCGTACAGCGGCACGGCCAACATCACTGCTCAAGGCGACCGCTGCCTTCCCTGGACGCACCCAGACGTCCAGCCTAAAGTCAAGGATTTTGGATCGACTCACGACCTGAGACACAACTACTGCGCCAACCCGGACGGTGACGACACTCCCTGGTGCTTCACCTCCACAGGACGGGCAAACTTTTGCGACATACCCAGGTATATTTATACGAATTTACCCGAATTGACCCGAGGGTCATTATCTCTCTAGTGGCCTCAATGGGGACAGGAAACCAGCGCGTTGACAGAGGTATTCCCCCAATTGTTTTTGAAGATTTTTCTATCTGGATTTGCAACTGAAGTAATGTCTGTACTTGAGACGTCGGCGGGTAGGCGGTTCCACGGGTTCATAAACCCTAGGCTTAAAAAAGCCTCTCTTTTTTTTTCTCTCCTACATTGTAGCTTGTTGAGCCTGAAGCTGTTGCCCTCTTGTGTGTTTGTGTTGCATGTGATCTTATAAAGAAGTCTGGGATATGTTTGGCAAAGTCTATAATTAAGCCTGATAAGCTTAATACAACTGTTTAATGACGTATTCTGTATGTAAAGTGTATAATATAATTTAACATTTGTGTTAAACAAGACACGTAGTGAGGAAGACTTGTAGGAGAGACTGGTATAACCGGTGTCTGATCTTAACGGATCTGGGCAACAGCGGATACAACCGCCTTGCTGGTTTCGTTCCCCACTGACGAGGCAACCTGTCCTCTTACCAAGAACGTCGCATTTCGATCGTATGCGCTACGTAAGGCCAAAAAATGGCTGTACTAGAAAATGAAATAGCACCTCGTGGAATGTGCGGCTCGTGAAAGTGACGTACTGTCCCGTTTTCTGTTTTGGGTCCTCTGAGACTATCTCTGTCATCAAGTTATCATCCTTGCGCTTCTTTAATAACAAATAAACAGTTAAGAGTAACACTCTTCTCCCTGCTGTCTACCTTGAGGTTACCTTGAGGTGCTTCCGGGGCATAGCGTCCCCGTGGCCCGGTCGTCGACCAGGCCTCCTGGTTGCCGGACTGATCAACCAGGCTGTTGGACGCGGCTGCTCGCAGCCTGACGTATGAGTCACAGCCTGGTTGATCAGGTATATCAAGGTTGATCAGTCTATATCAAGGCTTTTTTGTTTCATTCTATCCTGTAGGCCTACCCTGTCATTATAGTCTGCACTCAATCAGTTTTTGTTATCACTCATATTTACCGTTATGTCAAATTATATGTTGTTAATGATTAGAGTTATTTGTGTATAAATGTGGACAGGAGATCAGGCAGCAAGTGCACGTGTGCACTGATAATTTTATTTTATAATTTAGGCAGCCAAATGGCAGCCATTTAAAAAAAAATGACTGCCTGGACTTTTGGCCAGGCAGCACGTCACCACGAGTCCAGAGCTAAACACTAACGAAACGATTGATGATTGATGAAGATTAAGCCGCCCAAGAGGTGGCACGGGCATGAATAGCCCGTAAGTGGTGGCCCTTTTGAGCCATTACCAGTATCAAGAGCTGATACTGGAGATCTGTGGAGGTGCGACTGCACCCTGTGTGACGGGAGATGTCTCCCATGACCAACGAAACGTTCCACACCTCCCCCCCAGCCTGCACCCACCAGCTGGCCAGGGTAGTCAGTATTTTCTGACCCCACACCTCTTTGATTATATTCTTTTAAATACCCTTTACATATATAAACGGGTTGAACAGGGCTGATAAAAGATATTCTGATTGAAGTGAATCATCATAGCAAGCTGGTTAGATGCTGTATGCTCTGGGGAGCGTACCAATGGGACACCGAGACGACAGACCCATAGGACGCTGGACCGGTGGGTCGCTGGACCCGTGGACCAGTGGGAGGCTGAAAGTACCGCTTGTTGCTATGCATAGAGTTCGGTGCGCGTGCCGACAAGCGCCTCGGTGCTTCTCCTCTGCCTCCCGTTCTTTTCACACTACACCTGTTAATGGATGTATACTGGATGTATAATGTTATGTTAACTTGATGTATAGTGGATGTATACGATCATTTCGGTTGATATCAGTGGTAATGCACTTTATTGATGTATAGTGGATGTATAGTGTAATTAACTTGATGTATAGTGGATGTATACGATCATTTCGGTTGATATCAGTGGTAATGCACTTTATTGATGTATAGTGGATGTATAGTGTAATTAACTTGATGTATAGTGGATGTATACGATCATTTCGGGTGATATCGGTGGTAATGCACTTTATTATGTTCGGTTTGCTTAGGCTAGGTCACATCAGGTTAAAAAACGTGTATGTTAGATTAGGATAGGTCATGTTAGGTAAAGCTAGGCAAGGTTAGATTAGGCAGTTCTTTTTTCCAGTTGAAAACAACTCGCCTGGCAGCTGTGCTCACTAGACGGTGCAGAGTGTCGTACACAGTGTTATCGCTATATCCGTCGTACGTCCATTTACGCTCCTAATGAAAAGGTCACGATATATTTCAATATTAGACGCTGTCTTGTATCCAAAGAACGCGACTTCTCCTAAACCAGGTGAAGAAACTGATCGATTAAAAAATGGATCAGTATTCAGAAAGAAAACAATATGGATATTTCCCTCAGTCACCGATACGTATGTAGTCTTGAAGATACGTATATTAGCTTACGGGATCACCATAGCCCGTGCTACATGGACACTGCGTTCTGAGTAGATAAATCTAAAACAACAAAACAGCGTATATTAGCTCGTCATGGGGAATGAGGAATTAGGAGGAAGGGGGGGGGGGAGGAGGGGGAAAAGGGGGGGGGGAGGGGTAGTAAGCGGTTCATGGGTAAAGAAGGAGGTTCAGGTTGTGGGGGGTGGGGGGGTAGAGGTCGAAGTGGGGGGAAGAGGGAAGCTGTTCTACGCGTTTCTTGGTGCAGATCTCAGAGGTTAATACCGGCCGGTATGAACCGGCCTCTCTAGGTGTCTGGAGAGAGAGAGAGAGAGCAGTGCGCGTGGGTGTTCAGTGCAACATATCTATACACACATACTGGCACCCTTGTTTATAGGAAGTTAATAAGACCTCTCATAAAGTAAAGATCTTCAATAAAAGTGAAGATCACGCATATAGTGAAGATCACACATAGAGACAGTGAAGATCACACATAGAGACAGTGAAGATCACACATAGAGACAGTGAAGATCTCACTTAAAGACAGTGAAGATCTCACTTAAAGACAGCGAAGATCTCACATAAACACAGTGAAGATTTCACATAAAGACAGTGAAGATTTCACATAAACACAATGAAGATCTCACATAAAGACAGTGAAGATCTGACATAAAGGAAGCATCACTTGGTATAACTCACTAGGGCTGAGGCTCCATACACAGCCTGCAAGGGACCATTCAGGTTAAGCATTTGATATTGTATATGTTCCTTGACCTAGACCTAGACTAGACGAAACAGTTGACCACATAACCCCCAATGTACCCGGGCCTGCGGTTGAATGAGTTGATAAATACTCTCCCTTGGTTCTGTGTAGTGATGGTACAGTGGTACAGCACTTAGCTTTGTATCACGCAAGCGGAGGTTCTATAATTTCAGCCAGAGCATTTGGAATTTTAAAATATTTAAATATATAGTAGTAGGTATACAATTATGCTAAGTGTGTTATTTTCTGAGATTGTTTATGAGCATAGAAAATGGTCAATATTTCCCCTCAACAAACTTTGCTGTGACCTTCCCTAGACAGCTTAGGTTAGACGTCTTGAGTTAGGTTAGACTTAGGTTAGACCTGAAGGCTGGTGACCCCTTATCTAGAGCTGTGATACATTGTTTCACAAGTCGGCAACCTTCAACTACGTCTCCCCTAAACTGTCTTGGGAAAGTCACAAGGTTTAAAGGAGTTTAATGACCCATTTTCTATACTTTGCAGACATAAACAATCTCAGAATAGAACACGTACTACCCAAGAATAAACATTGTACTACAGGGAGATATCGACCGAATTTCGAAGCACAAACTTTAAAAAAATAATCCAGTTAATTTTTGTAATGTACTTTATTGATCTACAGTCATCTAATGAGATAAGAACTACTCACCTTATTGTGATTTTTGAGGGTTGAGCTTTAGCTCTTCGGTCACGTCATCTCCTTATAAGAAGTGTTTTTTAGTACACAACTAATCTCTTTTTTTTTTTTTTGGTTTAAATAAATATTTATCAATATAGACTCATGTACTATCATATAGGCTCATATACGAAGAGAGGGCTCCGAGAGCTCTGCTCCCTGAGCCTGGCTACTCTCATGTAGACTCGTGTACTCCTGTACTTCTATGTAGACTAATGTATTCCTGTGTAGACTCATGTACTCCTGTACAGGAGTGGACAAGAGTGTACATAGAATTACACGAATCTACGTGGGAGTACACAGACTCCTGTGTAGAATCCTGTCCTATGTTCACTCGTGTATATTCATGTACACAAGTATACTCCTACGTAGACTCCTGTAATGCCATGTACACTCTTGTCCTTCCATGTGGATTAACATGATGCGGTGTATACCTTCCAGGTGCGCGCGGGAGGAGACAGTGGAGGCGGTGGCACCGACGGAGCCCAGCGCCCTCCTCAAAGTCTGTACCGCTGATAAGTTCACCTGCACGTCTGGCACCTGTATCCACAAGGAGTGGCAGTGTGACGGCCAGCAGGTATCGTACAGCAAACAACCCGTGTCCTTCCTCTTACTTTAACCCTCTTTACATTATATTTTGAGATATGAGGGGGCGAAAAACGGATTTGTTTCCCTTAAAAGCACCATTATGAAACGGTAGTTTTTTTTTTTTAGAAAGGAAAATCGCGCTGTGGAATGCTTTTTTTTTTTAATCTTACAAATCCATATGTCGGGTTGGGATTAGGAAGCCGTCTTTGATACGATGTTTCCAGTATCAAGAAACATTGTTTGCTGCTCGCAGGATCAACAGGTAAATCGATCCTCTTTCTGAGCGGTCGTAGCGCCGGCTGGGTGTCAACCACCACAACAGCCTTCCAAGGATGTTGTTGTTGTTGTTAAAGATTCGCTACCTGGAACAAAGTTCTAAGTAGCACGGGCTATGGTGAGCCCGTAGCTTCCAAGGAGCTCTCCTGGAAGCTGCTCATGGGTACGCAATCTTGAGCTTGGGTGGGGGGGGGGGGGTCTACCTCCAGTAGCCAAGGTGGAATCCCGTTACCCATGGGGTCTATAATGGCTCTGATGGGGGGGGGGGGTGAGGTTTAAGAGGGGCAGGAAAGGAGACATTAGCTATTGTCTCCTTTTCCGCCCGTCTCTACCTCTTATTGCAAAGTTTATTTGGTGGGATGATAATAACGTTCTTGGAGTTAACCTCGATCCCTTTGAGTATGTTCCTTCCGTGCTTGGCTGTCAGCTTCCCTGCCTGCCTGCTTGATAGCAAGCCTGCCTGCCTACCTGTCAGCTTTGCCTGCTTGTCAGCTTGCCTGACTGCCTGCGTGTCAGCTCGCCTGGCTCAATTACCAGGTTACTGCGGCCCTAGAGTCCAGAAGCATTTTCAAGACGCTAGAACAGTTCAGCTTAAAGTTTTGTTAAATAGAAAACACCGTTGGAAACCAAATGTTGACATGCATCGATGTTTGCCCCTGTTTCCCCCCTCCCCCTACCCCTCTTTCTCTGTTTGCCCCTTTCCCCTCTTATAGCTCTCCCTCATTTCCTGTTGTGCAAGGCTAGGAATGTCTGTGACCTTGTCAAAGGCTTGATCGTCAAGGTGGCTCCGGTGTTGCTAAGGTGCGTGATTACTAAGAGAGAGAAGATTAAGCCACCCAAAAGGTGGCACGGGCATGAATAGCCCATAAGTGGTGGCCCTTTTGAGCCATTACCAGTATCAAGAGCTGATACTGGAGATCTGTGGAGGTGCAACTGCACCCTGCGTGACGGGAGATGTCTCCCGTGTGCGTGATTACGCTATCTCAATGTTACCGTCTACATCATATTACGTTTTTAAGTTGTGGATTGAATTGGCTTCAACAACCTATTCGTTCAAGGCATTCTATCTGCCGTATACAGTGGCGTCTCCCTCATCCCCAGGCACAGCTCAGCCCCTTTCCTGTGCCAGGTAAGTCCGCTACGGGCTCACCATAGCCCGTGCTACTTGGAAACATTTTGTTCCCCAGTAGCTGAATCTTAAACAACATCTTCATCATCCCCCAGGACTGTGAGGACGGGAGCGACGAGGTGGGGTGCCCGAACTACAGTCACGAGTTCAGTAAGCGCGTGAACTACCAGCTGAAGGGCCAGGAGGTGGAGAAGTGGCTTTACACCATCAAGACCACTTGCGCTGCTCGCTGCGTCCAGGCCAAGACCTTCATATGCATGTCCTTTAATTATCAGTAAGTGGTGAGGGGGGTTTTGTTGGAGGGATTTATTGTTCTGGGGAGCCTGAGAGGATTGGGATTTATTGTTCTGGGGAGCCTGGGAGTGGGATTTATTGTTCTGGGGAGCCTGAGAGGATTGGGATTTATTGTTCTGGGGAGCCTGGGAGGATTGGGATTTATTGTTCTGGGGAGCCTGGGAGGATTGGGATTTATTGTTCTGGGGAGCCTGAGAGGATTGGGATTTATTGTTCTGGGGAGCCTGGGAGGAGTGGGATTTATTGTTCTGAGGAGCCTGAGAGGATTGGGATTTATTGTTCTGGGGAGCCTGGGAGGAGTGGGATTTATTGTTCTGGGGAGCCTGAGAGGATTGGGATTTATTGTTCTGGGGAGCCTGAGAGGATTGGGATTTTTTGGTCTGGGGAGCCTGAGAGGATTGGGATTTACTGTTCTGGGGAGCCTGGGAGGATTGGGATTTATTGTTCTGGGGAGCCTGGGAGGATTGGGATTTATTGTTCTGGGGAGCCTGGGAGAAGTGGGATTTATGCTCTTTTGAACCAGGAAGTCGTGTACTTTATTAGAAATGGGATTTATTAATTTTGAAATGCTAGATCGTGATTTCTTCCAGTTCTACAATTGTCAGTAAATTCAGCTTAGGAAACTTCTGCAGGTCGCCGATAATCAGGCAACAGACGCGAGGAGACAGCTTACATGTCCGCTAGATGCCAACAAGCTGGAGGGTAAAACTCTTGCCATACCTCACAGTTATCACCCCCTTTAGAACTCAGGACACACAGCCGACACCCCACGAATACCCGCCAAACACACAACGAAACTACGACGTTGGTACAACGTTCGAACAAGTTTTTAACACCTAACCACTTATAAGAACGAGTATAGCAAGTTGTTGCAACGTTCTAATACGTCATAAACACGTTAAGCCAAGATGTAACAACTTTATTACAAGTTGTAACAAGCAGAAAATAGTGACAGTTGCGGTTTGTGTTTCCAGGGTACTGACGAATCTTCGAGGGAGAGTGTCTTGTTCCCCAGGTCCCTACACCTGAAAGCTGAAGGGTTTGCCCTCTTTTACTTAGTCGTTGTGGAACTGGGTAGAGTCTTGGGAGACACCAGGTTCCTTTTACTGCAGGTGGTGCTACCAAGTGCCATCTTCCGCAAGCAGTACCGTTGTTGTTGTTGTTGTAATAGATTCAGCAACTGGGAACAAAAAGTTCCAAATAGCACGGGCTATGGTGAGCCCGTAGTGGACTTACCTGGCACAAGAGCAAGGCTGTAACTATAAAGCAGTACCACCAGCTTCCTTCTCCCAGGACTGGAGACATCTCCCGTCACGCAGGGTGCAGTTGCACCTCCACAGATCTCCAGTATCAGCTCTTGATACTGGTTAATGGCTCCAAAGGGCCACCACTTACGGGCTATTCATGCCCGTGCCACCTTTTGGTTGGCTTAATCTTCATCAATCAATCAATCAATCAATCAATCTTCCTTCTCCCGCAGACAGTCGACGGAGACATGCATCCTGAGCAACAGCAACGTTGGGCTCTCCGGAGGCCTGGTGGCCGCCAGGAGCTGGGAGTACTACGAGATGAAGAACAAGACCATCGACTGTACTAAGATGTTCGTCTGTCAGGACAGCAAGTGCATCAACCACACTCAGGTGAGGCCAGGTACTGACATGCTAATTAACTGTAGCTAAATGAACGCAATTGACTGATTGCTTCTTGACACTGGCACCGTGTTAATGACTACCTGTTACCTAGCAGTAAATAGGTACCTGGGTGTTAGTCAGCTGTCACGGGCTGCTTCCTGGGGGTGGAGGCCTGGTCGAGGACCGGGCCGCGGGGACACTAAAGCCCCGAAATCATCTCAAGGTAACCTCAAGATAACCTGAATGTTTAGATTCGCATCACTAACAATTACTGCAGCCGAGACTATGTCAGTAGTATACTGACTCCTAAGTAATTCATTTATAAAAAAATGAAGCTAAAAAAACAAATTTAAATATTCCTAGGACTAGTATAGCACACATGTACTATATTAGGCCTCAAATATCGGGTTTAGGCCTAGGAAGGTTAGCTTAGTTTAGTTTAATTTGTCTTTGCAACACAAGTGAAAAATAGTTTTCCAGTTTGTCCAACTCAATAGTGCCGATCTGTACTTACTAACTCCGTTGCACGTTGTTGTTGTTGTTTAAGATTCGCTACCTGGAACAAAAAGTTGCAAGTAGCACGGGCTATGGTGAGCCCGTAGTAGCGTTGTAGGTCGGTATGTATACTATGGTCCTCGTCGTTACTGTAAGTACTACCAAAACAGGAGGATGGGCTGCACTGTACGGAAAATCAGAGGAAATATAGACCTTTTTCTTCGGTTCCAATCAGTATATATTTAGTGTGATGTTGACTGGAGACCCACCAGTGACGCCCTTGTGTTGACCCCCAGCGGTGTTGACCCCCAGCGGTATTGACACCCCCTTGTGTTGACCCCCTTGTGTTGACCCCCCTTGTGTTGACCCCCAGCGGTATTGACACCCCCTTGTGTTGACCCCCAGCGGTATTGACACCCCCTTGTGTTGACCCCCTTGTATTGACCCCCCTTGTGTTGAGCCCCAGCGGTATTGACACCCCCTTGTGTTGACCCCCTTGTATTGACCCCCTTGTGTTGACCCCCTTGTATTGACCCCCTTGTGTTGACCCCCTTGTATTGACCCCCTTGTGTTGACCCCAGCGGTGTGACGGCCGTCGGGACTGTAAGGAGAACGAGGACGAGCTCGAGTGCGACAACCAGGTCAACTTCGAGGTCAGACTCGTCAACGGTTCGTCCGATAACGAAGGCCGCGTTGAAGTCAAAGGTAAGGTCATGGGTCACTGCCGTTTATTCCAAGACCGTATTTTGTACTATATGGGGTCCTGTAGCACAATGGTCTACGTCCTCCACCTACAATCGAGGAATCCGCGTTCAATTTCCAAGCAGGACAGAAACGTTTAGGCAAATTTCCTTTCCCCTAAATAGGTACCAGAGAGTTAGGCAACTATTGTGGGTTGCATCCAGTGGCGGGGGAAGAGGGACCTCGATAATCCTAAGTACATCTAGGTAATAAGTGTTATTCCAGGGGCCAGATTCACCAAAGCACTTACGCAAGCACTTACGAACCTGTCCATCTTTTCTCAATCTTTGGCGGCTTTGCTTCCAATTATTAAACAGTTAATGAGCTCCGAAGCACCAGGAGGCTGTTTATAACAATAACAACAGTTGACTGGCAAGTTTTCATGCTTGTAAACTGTTTAATAAATGTAACCAAAGCCGTCAAAGATTGAGGAAAGATGTACACGTTCGTAAGCGCTTTCGTGAATCTGGCCCCAGATCCTGCCCGAAACGCTTTGCGTAATAGTGGCTTTAGGCATTGTATGTACTAGCTCTATCTATAAAGCCAACAAACTTTGTAAAATCTCTTTATGTATGTACCTTACCTAAATAAAATTATTATTATTATTATTATTATTATTATTATTATTATTATATAATATATATTTAACTGTGACCCTGAGTGAGGTAATTACTGAGGTTAACTAGATTGGCTTGTGTGCTGGTCGTGGCTGGCCTATGCTTATCCTTGGTGACCCACTGTCACCCTACAGAGCTTATATGTTGATTCGGATTTCCGCCAGTGTTCGGTCGGTGGGGTCCTGTGTGTGATGACATGTGGGGTGTGCCAGACGGGGACGTAGTGTGCCAACAGCTGGGCTTCGTAAAGGGTGCCAAGGAAGTCTTCATCAACTCATAGTGAGTTTACTGTTGAGTTCTGTCATTGTCCATAATTTATTTGGTACGTCATTTTTTTTTTTTTTAGTCAAGAACTTTTTCAACTTATTCTTTGGTAAAATTCACATTACAGAAAGAATTTGCTATGAACTAATTCATAAAAATGTTCTGAATCGCAAATACTGTTTTTAGTATTCAGGTTAATGTATTCCTCCCCCCCCCCCCCGTCCCATCCCAAATCCTTATCCTGACCCCTTCCAAGTGCTATATAGTCGTAATGGCTTGGCGCTCTCCCCTGATAATTCCCTTCATTCCATAACTTTAAATACCCCTAAAACCACCTGATCAAACTGATACAATTACTGAGTTTTAAATGCTTCTTTTGCAGCTTTACACTACATTTTCATGTCCCTGTGATAGTCTCACTTAATTGAAGTGTTACCTAAGCCTCTTGTAACCCTGTCTTGACCTTCCGCTCCCACAGTTTCGGGTCTGGCAACGGTCAGTACCTCATGGATGATCTCAACTGCCACGGTAACGAGAAATCTCTCGCTGACTGCGACTTTGGTGGCTGGGGAGTACACGACTGTCAGCCCTCAGAGGTACGTCCCAATCTGGCAACTCCCTCCAGACGCCTCAATGTTTCACTGACTAGTTAACTGGTTCGACGGATGGTTGACTTACCGAGCTATTGTGTAGTGACTGTAGTTACTGTGAGGACTGTGATTTGACTGAATATTTATTTGGTGTTGTTGGTTTTCCAGGCTGCGGGGGTGCGTTGCTTCCAGTCTGAAGAGTCGTGCGGGAGGGAGCAATGGAAGTGTGGCAACGGACGGTGTGTGGGGCTCAGGTTCCTCTGTGACACCGTCGACGACTGCCAGGACAACTCCGATGAGAACCGCACCATGTGTAAGGTATAACCCGGGCAGGGGGTCCGCCCTCTCAGTCAACCACAGCAACCCATTCGTCGCTACAGTGGTGTAAAAAAGTGGGAGATCGTGGTGGTCGACGGGCTGGGATGGGAGGGGGTGGTGGTCGACGGGCTGGGATGGGAGGGGGTGGTGGTCGACGGGCAGGGATGGGAGGGGGTGGTGGTCGACGGGCTGGGATGGGAGGGGGTGGTGGTCGACGGGCTGGGATGGGAGGGGGTGGTGGTCGACGGGCAGGGATGGGAGGGGGTGGTGGTCGACGGGCTGGGATGGGAGGGGGTGGTGGTCGACGGGCAGGGATGGGAGGGGGTGGTGGTCGACCGGCTGGGATGGGAGGGGGTGGTGGTCGACGGGCAGGGATGGGAGGGGGTGGTGGTCGACCGGCTGGGATGGGAGAGTGCGTATAATCACCTATTTACTGCTAGGTGAACGGAAATTCTTGTCCACCTGACACTAGGTAAACGCATTAGGTGAAAGGAAACGTGCCCAACCTTTTCCGTCTCTTCCAGGATTCTTGATTGTAAAGTGAAAACTAACCCGAAACGCTTTGCGTAATAGTGGCTTTAGACATTGTATGTACCAGCTCTATCTATAAATCCATCAATCTTTGTAATATCTCTTGTATGTATGTACCTTACCTAAATAAACATTTATTTATTTATTTATTTAACCCAACTGTACTACCGAGAACCCAAATACAAAAATTTTAGTGCACAAAATTCATATATATAATATATATGAGTTTATATTAATCTATCAAAATCATATATATATAATACTACGAAAAACTGTTATTCCATAACAATTTGTGTTTGAAATATTTAATATTTCTGGGAAAATCAGCTTGCTAGGAAATTCTTACTATTCGGTACACAAAGGTATTCATTGTTCTATTACTTCAAACTGATATAAAAAACGATAGTAAATATGGACGTAAATGAAGGGGACTACTCTAAAATAAATCCTTCTGTAATATAATTAAAACATTACAAATTAATTATGTTACTGTAGATAATAATAATATTATTTACAAACGGAAAAATTTAGAGTAGTCCCAGTACACACACGCTCATGTTTACTAGCGTTTTCTACATCACTTTGGAGGAAAAGAAAACCGCCTTCAATGAAGGCACTAACATCAACAGATCCCATTTCTTTCTTTCTTTCTATATAAATTCGATATTCAATATATATCGGCATATGCCCTCTGTCACTGTAGACAAAATTGAATGGTGGCAAACCAACTAAATGGCTTTACCATTTGACACGTGAAATGCCATCGGCATAGAACAAATGGAGGGACCGTTGTCAAACCACGGGCTTCCTGTTCTCGTAGAGGCCACTAGAGATATAGCGGCCCTCAGGTAAATTCAGGCAAATGTGTTCTAGAATCTGGGTCCTACTTCTAGCAATGACTATTTTCTGAAGCAATAGGTACATCCAGAAGTTTTTAATGGTCTCCCATGACACGATTATTATCTTCCGTTCTTTCATAACAGAAAACGGTTTGCACGACAAATAAAAGGAAATCGTATTTGTAATATGTGCACTATTGGTGACCTTTTTTGTGAAGAATTACCACAGTTTGGACGCGAATCAAATCCCTGGGGACCTGAAAGGGTTCTCTACAACATATTGACAATGTTGGATTGATTTAGATCGTGAGTAGTGAAAATATGCCCGAAACGCTGCGCGTACTAGTGGCTTTACAAGACTGTAATTACCATATTATGTATTCTCACATTCCCAATGTACATTCTTGTATATGCATAAATAAATAAATAAATATGTTCCTAGATCCTCACCCGAGCAAGGCAGAATACCTCGGCTAGTATTAAATATTTTTGAGGTTAAAGTTGAAATTTATATTTCCAATTTTGACCGTATTAGATCTCTCGCGTCGCCGTGGACCCATTACATTATATACTTGGATTATATATTGATGTTATATGCTGTTTCACCGTAGCCTATCATATTAATTTCTGTCTTGTCCACCTGGCACTAGGCGCCGGTGGAGGTACGCCTGGCAGGTGGAGGAGACGCTGGAAGAGACCTCCAGTCCAGCCAGGGACGTGTGGAAGTGCGCTACCTGGGCGTCTGGGGCACCGTCTGCGATGATGACTTCGGTCTGGAAGAGGGACACGTGAGTATAGCCAGTCTTGCCTCCAATATTCACTTCGGTCTGGAAGAGGGACACGTAAGTATAGCCAGTCTTGCCTCCAATATTCACTTCGGTCTGGAGGAGGGACACGTGAGTATAGCCAGTCTTGCCTCCAATATTCACTTCGGTCTGGAAGAGGGACACGTAAGTATAGCCAGTCTTGCCTCCAATATTCACTTCGGTCTGGAAGAGGGACACGTGAGTATAGCCAGTCTTGCCTCCAATATTCACTTCGGTCTGGAAGAGGGACACGTAAGTATAGCCAGTCTTGCCTCCAATATTCACTTCGGTCTGGAAGAGGGACACGTAAGTATAGCCAGTCTTGCCTCCAATATTCACTTCGGTCTGGAAGAGGGACACGTGAGTATAGCCAGTCTTGCCTCCAATATTCACTTCGGTCTGGAAGAGGGACACGTAAGTATAGCCAGTCTTGCCTCCAATATTCACTTCGGTCTGGAGGAAGGATGCGTATTTGCACCCGATCTTGAGTCCAATACTTACTGTTATAGTGTACTCTAGTGTGTCTGCTTCTGTACAGCCCGTCCTCTTAAAATTAAAGTACTGTTTGGTCGACAGTACCAATATGGGGTGATGGACCACCAGAAAGTTCACTTTTGTATTTTTGAATGTATCATGGAGGAAAAAAATAGGTCCGGAGTAAGCACATTAGATAATCGACGGTTAGAAAAACGGGATCCAAGAACTAACAGGTCGATCCTACAGGCACCGCGCACAAACACTCACGCACGCAAACCTAAGTCTATGTTTGCGTGCGTGTTTGTCTATGGAGACACTCTAAAACGGAGTCGTCCGTTTTAGAGTCCGTCTCTACCCACCCTTGCGTCAGAGCAGCCTCCCCCCTGCAGGTACTCTGCCGGATGATGGGGTGGGAAAGGTCTTCGCACATTTTCAAGAACAACACCTTTGGAGCAGGCACGGGCATGGTGTGGCTGGACGATGTGCGCTGCCTGGGCTACGAGGCCTCCGTCGCCGACTGCCAGCACCTGCCGTGGGGCCAGACCAACTGCGACCACACCGAGGACGTCGGCCTCCGCTGCTCCAACATATCAGGGGTACGTCTAACACCTATTTTAAAAGCACACGGGATAGAATGCAGAAAAGCTGTAAACGCTGGGTTAGGGGTTTGGCTGAAGTAGAAGACAGAGGGATTTGGATGAGGTAGGTGTCCGAGTTCTTTCTTTAGCTAGGTCTACATTTATTCGGGTGTTTCAGAGGGAAGAACCAGATGAGTACGTAACCTTATCGCCTGAGAAGGAGGTGCTGCCGGAGACGTGTGGGCGGCGGGCGGTGGAGGACGTCCCTCCTACTCTCACCCTAGAGAGCCCGAAGGTGGTCAGCGGCCACACGCCCCCAGCAGGAGCTCATCCCTGGATGGTGAGTAACAGCAGCAGCCTGGCGGTGTTCACCATCGTCACCACCTCGTCAAATTTGTATATAAAAACTAATGTTGTTAATATACATATTATATATAATTCTTACGGCAGGTGGCTATCAACCTGCGGACGAAGTCTGGCCCGTCGCAGTGGTGTGGAGGAGCCGTGTTGACGGAAGACTACGTCCTCACAGCCGCCCACTGCGTCTTCAAGTACCCGGCCTCAACCTACCTCCTCAAGATAGGAGACTACAACACTCTCGTAAGGATGGGTCCGGCAGAGGGCGGGCATATGTTGCGTGTTGTTTCGTGTGCGTGCATGTTTATTTTTGTGGAGGGGAACTTTTGTGAGTGTTTTCGTTTTTATATGTGCTTATTTATATTCAGTGGGATTGAAGGATTTTGATTTAAGACATTTTTAATTCCGTGATTCCTTTATTCCCCTGTGTACGCTCCATTTTCTTTTCTTACTACCTCATTTTCTTTAATCCCCCCCTTTTTTGTAGTGACTTTCTCCTACTATTTCTCCCTATCTGTAACTTCTTCCTCCATTCTTAACCCTGCCTCCTTCCTCACTCTCACAGGAGAAGGAAGAGGAGGAACAGGAGTTCCGGGTCTCAACAGTCCTCCTGCACCCGGAGTTCGACAAGGGCCCCTACCTTAACAACGACGTTGCTCTCCTGAAGGTCATGAGGAAGAACGGAATGGGCATCAGGTGAGTTACTCACGCTATTCCACCACTGAACCCTTCCAGCTGCCTAGTTCCTCACCCTCTTTCAGCGCACCACAAAACCTCTAGCGGCACAGGTTTGAGGTTCTGATATATATATATGTGTTTAACACATATGTAACTTACCTGCTAGGAGTAAAACATGATGCAGTACAAGGATTTCAAATATTTGTTTATTCGTAACGAGATGTTTTGCATTTCATGTAGCTTGAGTTTAGATTTATCTCTAAATGATTAAATTTTCGTCACAGTCTAAGATGTAATGCTCAAGTGTATTGTCTCTGTCTTTATCCACAGACTTTATACTTTACTTCATCTAGATCCCTGTATAAGCCGAACTGTCAGAGACTTGTGACCAAGTCTTATTCGAGCTGTGACAACGTCTGCTAGTCTGCTGATTTTGTTACTTGTCCCATACACGTGTTTTGACATATCTCATTCTGATACACAATGGACCTGCTAGTTCAAGATGGCACTAATCTACTTTTTTCGAGTTCATATATAAGAGTTTTCGTCTAATGACACTTTTAAGGGATCTATTTGATAACTCAAGATTACGTTCAACATTGTTTTGATTTATTGGAAGCTTACCAAGGGCGTCAACTTTAACATGTTCCTACAATCCAATTTGAGAGGGAATCCACAACATTTTGACTCTGATCCCCTTATTGTCGACCCATGTAAACGCCAGTGTATGGGCCTCGCAGCGAGCCAATATTATTATTTTGAGGGGAATTTACTAGGGCTATTATTAATACGTTTTAAAATGGTCAAGGCATTAAATTCCTTATTTTCACCCTCATCAGATTTGGCAGGTTTGTGCAGCCTGTGTGTCTGGTCGCTCCCAGATGGAAGTACCCTCCGTACCTCAACTGTACCGTGGCGGGCTGGGGCAGCCTGGGCATCACCGAGGGTACGTACCCTACATTTTCTCAGAATCATATCAAGTGGTAATTCTCTCCCCTCCCACCACCCCCACTCCTCCCATCCTCCATGTTTTGGTGCCATGATGGGTAGGTACCTCCCTATTGTTCCAGTACGTGGCTTAGTAGGTACATCCCTGTTGTACCACGCTAAGTATGTACCGTTAAGTTGTACCTATGTAGGTACCTCAGTTCATCCAGTACCATACCATCATCAGTACCTTCAGGTGCTCCGTTGCATTAAGATTATGATTTTCAACAGCAATACCAACCCGTTCTCCTGCAGGATATTCCAAGGTGCTGCAGTCAGCCCTTCTACCCATCCAGCCGGAGACGACGTGCTCGGCTGACTACGTCTACGGCCCGACGCGCCTCACGCAGGGCATGTACTGCGCCGGCTACCTGGAAGGGGGTATCGACACCTGTCAGGGCGACTCCGGCGGCCCAATGGTCTGCTACGTCGACGGTGAGCCCTGCACTGGTGTGTGTGTGTGTGTGTGTGTGTGTGTGTGTGTGTGTGTGTGTGTGTGTGTGTGTGTGTGTGTGTGTGTGTGTGTGTGTGTACTCACCTAGTTGTGTTTGCGGGGGTTGAGCTCTGGCTCTTTGGTCCCGCCTCTCAACCGTCAATCAACAGGTGTACAGATTCCTGAGCCTATTGGGCTCTATCATATCTACACTTGAAACTGTGTATGGAGTCAGCCTCCACCACATCACTTCCTAATGCATTCCATTAGGAATGCATTAGGTTAGTGTGTGTGTGTGTGTGTGTGTGTGTGTGTGTGTGTGTGTGTGTGTGTGTGTGTGTGTGTGTGTGTGTGTGTGTGTTAGTGTGTGTGTTAGTGTGTGTGTGTGTGTGTGTGTGTGTGTGTGTGTGTGTGTGTGTGTGTACTCACCTATATGTACTCACCTATATGTGCTTGCAGGATCGAGCATTGACTCTTGGATCCCGCCTTTCTAGCTATCGGTTGTTTACAGCAATGACTCCTGTCCCATTTCCCTATCATACCTAGTTTTAAAAGTATGAATAGTATTTGCTTCCACAACCTGTTCCCCAAGTGCATTCCATTTTTCTACTACTCTCACGCTAAAAGAAAACTTCCTAACATCTCTGTGACTCATCTGAGTTTCCAGTTTCCACCCATGTCCCCTTGTTCTGTTATTATTACGTGTGAACATTTGATCTATTTCCACTTTGTCAATTCCCCTGAGTATTTTATATGTCCCTATCATATCTCCTCTCTCCCTTCTTTTCTCTAGTGTCGTAAGGTTCAGTTCCTTCAGCCGCTCTTCATATCCCATCCCTCGTAGCTCTGGGACAAGCCTCGTCGCAAACCTCGTCGCAAACCGTCGTGTGTGTGTGTGTGTGTGTGTGTGTGTTAGTGTTAGTGTGTGTTAGTGTGTGTGTGTGTGTGTGTGTGTGTGTGTGTGTGTGTGTGTTAGTGTGTGTGTGTGTTAGTGTGTGTGTGTGTTAGTGTGTGTGTGTGTGTGTGTGTGTGTGTGTGTGTGTGTGTGTGTGTGTGTGTGTGTGTGTGTGTGTGTGTGTGTGTGTGTTAGTGTGTGTGTGTTAGTGTGTGTGTGTGTTAGTGTGTGTGTGTTAGTGTGTGTGTGTTAGTGTGTGTGTGTGTGTGTGTGTGTGTGTGTGTGTGTGTGTGTGTGTGTGTGTGTGTGTGTGTGTGTGTGTGTGTGTGTGTGTGTGTGTGTGTGTGTGTGTGTGTGTGTGTGTACCCACACTTACATAGAAATATGTAAATCTTGGCTGTACTGGTGATGAATAACGTTCCAGCAAGCAAAATACAGTTTATACTGCCAGGCAAGCAGGCCTCGTACACTGAACTACTCGCTAGTGTACTAGTACACTAGTAGCAGTGTACCAAACATCTCACGTTCTCTCCCACTTCCATGTACGACTAACCATCCGGTGAGATTCGTATATTATATGAGCGTATAACCTGCTCTTCACGTATACACTGCAATCCCATCGTATGGATACCATTCCTTTCCCCCCGTCCCATCCCAAATCCTTATCCTGACCCCTTCCCAGTGCTATATAGTCGTAATGGCTTGGCGCGTTCCCCTGATAACTCCCCCAACCCATCTAAGGTTGTAAATACAACATATAACACACCTGACTTTCACTGATCTGTTCCCACAGAGCGCTACACAGCGGTGGGCATCACAAGCTGGGGGCACGGCTGTGCTAGGCCCAATAAGCCTGGCGTCTACACTAAGCTTACAAGATATCTTCAATGGATCTACTCCAGCTTGGGCTGACTCCTGACCTCCCATGGATCTACTCCAGCTTGGGCTGACTCCTGACTTCTCGTGAACCTACTCCAGCTTGGGCTGACTCCTGACCTCCCATGGATCTACTCCAGTTTGGGCTGACTCCTGACTTCTCGTGAATCTACTCCAGCTTGGGCTGACTCCTGACTTCTCGTGAATCTACTCCAGCTTGGGCTGACTTGTGTCTATCAGCCGAGTCGATATACTGCTAGATCTTTCGCCGAACAGTGAATCTACTTCATCTACCGGCCAATATACCTCGACTAGACTAGCACACAGGTCTACTAGTCCATGGTCTTCGGCGTGGCGTGGGTCTAGTGGACCAAGGGGCAGTCGGGTCTAAAACTTGTACCAGAATGTAAATTTCGTCATTGTGACGTCACACACACGTCGTGTACACGTATATAAAACACACTGTTGACCAAACCACACGCTAGAAGGTGAAGGGACGACGGCATTTCGGTCCGTCCTGGACCATTCTCAAGTCGATTGTCTTGAGAATGGTCCAGGACGGACCGAAACGTCGTCGTCCCTACACTTTCTAGTGTGTGGATTGGTCAACATACTTCAGCCACGTTATTGTGACTCCTCGCCTGTATAACACACAATGTTTTATCTTTTATGTTCGTATGGTTAGCTTAGGTTTTGGGTTAGGCCAGATTAAATTGGGTTTGGTTAGGTTAAACTGGGTTGGGTTAGGTTAGGTTAGGTTTGGTATGTTAACAACAAAATTAGCAATGACATATTTACAAAGGGATGTAAATTTTTACAGGTTTTAGACCCGACTCTTAACAGGACCATTGTAGAAAACCCCGTAAATGATCACGTTGCTGGAGCCTCTCGGGCAGTGCCAACACCAACAACCTGCTAGAACACACAACCAATAGAACAAGAGAACACAATGACTATTTTGCAGTGTCATGCTTTATGCTAATTAAGTGTACATATAAAACAGGTCTTTTTTTCCCCCCTTCGAGTCTTCACCGGCGCTCTTCTCTAAATAATATCCAGGAACGAATTTCGTATTAACAAAATATTACTCAATTGTTAATCCACTTGTATTTTAAACTAACTGATGTTAACAAATATTTTCCAAGGTACAAGCCTATTGTATGAGTTAATACAATCACATGTAAAATAAATTATATAAAACTAATAGATTGAGTTTGAACCTCAGCCTCCCTTTAATGTAACAATCTTTTGAACATGAAACGAATATTGAAATATTAGTTGAAGACGGACTGTACTCACCTAGTTGTGCTTGCGGGGGTTGACCTTTGGCTCTTTGGTCCCGCCTCTCAACTGTCAATCAACTGGTGTGCAGATTCCTGAGCCTACTGGGCTCTATCATATCTACATTTGAAACTGTGTATGGAGTCAGCCTCCACCAACATCATTGCCTAATGCATTCCATTTACTAACTACTCTGACACTGAAAAAGTTTTTTCTAATGTCTCTGTGGCTCATTTGGGTACTCAGCTTCCACCTGTGTCCCCTTGTTCGTGTTCCGCCCGTGCTAATGAGTTTGTCTTTGTCCACCCTGTCAATTCCTGTGTGTGTGAGGCAACTGTGTGAGGCAGAAGAAGAAGAAGGAACTTAGATGATGTAAGAGCTAGAAGTAACTGAGAAGTAGAATGAACTACACTATAAGAAAATATGTGATAGAGGAAGAAATGGAACTGGAATATATTAAATAAAATGGAGATAACAACTGCAATAATTGGGCAGAGAAACTAAAAAAATATATTATTAAAAATTAAATAAACCAGCAATTTGGAGCAAAACTAGTATGAGATAAACTAGAAGGTTAACTAATCTAGAAGGAGCTGGAGCAAACTAGAACATTTAAGAAACTAGTATCAACTACAAGAATCTACAAGGAACAGAAAAATAAAAGCAAGAAAGAACTAGAGAAGAAATTACTCACGAGAAACTAAAATGAACTAAAATAGGAAACTAGAATGAACTAAAATAGGAAACTAGAATGAACTAAAATAGGAAACTAGAATGAACTAAAATAGGAAGAATGAAAAAACTAGAAGAATCTAGAAGGAACAGAAAAATAAAAGCAAAAAAGAACTAGAGAAGAAATTACTCAGGAGAAACTAGAATGAACTAAAATAGGAAACTGTGCAACAAGAATCTAGTCTAATCTAGAAGGAGAAAAGTTGCAGCTTGGAATAACCTTGAGATATAAAAAAACGTAACAAAATCAACTCAGCTTGAAGGAGCAAGATGCAACACGGAAGCAGACAACACAAAGGTCTTAAGTTGTAAAAGATAAACTGGACTAAGCTGCTGGAGCCAGTAGCAGCAGGTCGGAGCGTCATAAGGAGTGCCCAGTTTACCACACAACTGGTATAGCAGCTTAAGTGTCTACTCGCCTAATTGTACTCATCTAATTGTGCGTGCAGGGGTTGAGCTTCGGCTTATTTATCCCGCCTTTCAACCATCAATCAACAGGTGTACAGGTTCCTGAGCCTATTGGGCTCTATCATTACTACATTTGAAGCTGTGTATGGGGTCAGCCTCCACCACATCACTGCCTAGTGCATTCCATTTGTTAACTATTCTGACACTGAAAAATTTCTTTCTAATATATCTATGGCTCATTTGGCACCCATCCTCCTGCTTTGGTAGTACTTATTACAGTAACGATAAGGACCATAGTATATATACCGACCTACAACGAAATTAGAAAGTTGAAATTTGAACTATTGAGTTGAACAAACAGGAATTTTTTTTTGTGTTGCTTTGAAAAACTAAACTAACCTCCCTAGGCCTAATACACGATATCCGAGTCCTAATATAGTACACATGTGTGCTATACTAGGCCTAGGAATATTTAAGTTTGCTTTTTAGCTTCATTTATAATAAAATAATTCCTTACTAGTCAGTATACTACTATTTAAAAGCTAAGAACGTACGAATTCGTGGCTATTGATTATCGTCACTATGGGTACTGAGTTTCCACCTGTGTACCTTTGTACGAGTCCCACCCGTGTTAAATAGTCTGATTTATCTCCTCCATTAATTCCTCTGACAATTTTGTATGCGGTAGTCATGTCTCCCCTAACTCTTCTGTCTTTCAGCAACAAGAGGTATAAATCACGTAGACCTAGTTGTACTTGCGGGGGGATGGGCCACGGCTCTCGGGTTCCGCCTCCAGGGTACTGTATTATTAGTGGCTTCATGTGATGTACAATGTTTACGATTTTTCCAATGTTACACCTATCAATTGTATCGTTATATATATATAAATATATATATAATATTATTATACGCAAAGAAATCACAATAGCGTGGTATATATAAATGATTCAGTCAATTGGAACAATGAGACTCGCAACAGTCATTTAGGAATCTGGTTTAAGTATTGTGTCTGGACAAAACAGGGGATTGGATGAGTACACTGGCACACTTACCTCGATTTCGGGCGAGAGATGTGTTCATGTCGACCAGATGTCGACCTGGCGGAGGCCTGGTCGACGACTGGGCCACGGCGACGCTAAGCCCCGAAATCAAATCATCTCAAGGTAAGAGATGGTAAAAGGTAAGAGGTAAAAGATTCATCATGAACCGGGACAATTACGGTGTTTGTATGGAAGCATGATATCTCGGTTACCAAGAGGCAACAGTTTACATGTATATTGCGACGGGTCGGTGGCGGAGGATGGCAGGGCAGGGTGTGGTGTCCTAATAAGGGATTATACGGAGTTTGGGACTGTGGACAGGATAATTGAACTCCGGCTTAGTAATTATATATCATCCACACAAGCTGAACTGCAGGCCATTCTGGCGTGTTTGGAGGAAGTACGTCATGACGACAAAAATGTTTTTGTATTTGTCGATAGCCGAGGAGCACTGGAGTCCTTAAACAGTCGAAACCCAGTCTTCATGTCTATAGTGGAGGACTGTAAGAGAAGAATAACTGAGATACAGCTGAAAGGTTATAGTGTGAAATTCATGTGGATTCCATCTCATGTTGGAATAGTGCTCAACGAGGTGGCGGATGATTTGGCCAAACGTGCCACATCAAAACCACAAGTTGACATTGAATGTGAATTCACAATGAGACAAATAAGAAGCAAAATCAGAAATATTCAGGCACAGGCGGGAGTGGAGAGGAGAGAGATAATGTATGAGAGTAGTCAAACCATGCAACACTACATGTATGTGAGTCAAAACACCCATTTCACTTATGGTAAAAGGAGAAATGCTTGGAGTGACTCTGTGTACATGCGGCTCAGGCTTGGGTACAAATATTACTGGGAATATGGGATAGATGTTCATGGTAATGACACGAAGTGTAAACTATGTGGTATGTTAAGGTCTCACACCCTTGCCCATTATATTCTTGATTGTCCGTTGATTAGTGTATATAGAAACACTGAGATAAGGACTGTTCCTGAACAAATAGCCTGGATGTGTCACAACGGAAAGGTTGATGATATTCTTGAGAGATATAAGAATTTTGCACCAAGATTGTAATATTTTGTTGAATTATCTGCAGGTGTCTTGCAAATTGTCTATACAGTATACCTAGGTCATAAAAGTATTTGTGTGTACGTCTGATAACATACTACTTGTGAAGGAGGAAATGTATATGTTTACCTCTCAGAATGTTTGGTAATGTGTTTATTTGTGATGTGTGTATATGTATATATTAACACGTTGTACTGAACGGGGTGAGAATAGCTTGAGCTACCTCATCCCTTTGTGTGTATTTTACCTCAATAAACTTATTTCAATTTCAATTTCAATTTCAATTTCTCAAGGTAAGGTGTTATTAAACGCCTAGTATACCCTTAATGCCAGGTTTGTTAATATGTATCAGCTGACATTAAACGTAATTGATTGGTCAGTTCTCCAGCTGAACTGGCAATGTGATTGGCCATGGGATGGGCGGTAAAATGTTACCTTCGCTTTTGGTGAAACTTTTACTGCCCTTTGCTGAACAGGCAGGTGAACAACGACCTTAAGATTTGAACACGAGTATGATATACTCTTTCAGTACCAGTTCAGATAGCGCAAAGATATGATAAGTATAAGACTTAATGGCTCAATAACGCCAACTAGGGAACTAGAGGAGACTAGTGACATCTAGCGGTGAGAGGTCTAACCATATCCCTGCAATAAGGCATTATATGACAGGGAGGGGCAATACAGTGCTAGAAGATTCGCCCCTGATATTTCAAATTTCCTTGGAGATTGAGTCGACTTTACACCATGACTCTACAACAACTGTACACTTCCTGGCGTTCGTCAACTTCCCTCTTCAGCGTAAGGACACAGATCTCTAACGGACTAACACAAAAAAATCCATAAAATAATCATGTTCACAACACGTGATTTAAAATGTTCATTCGCAGTTGTGTATTCCTCTACTGCTGTTTCAACCACATAAACTACGACGTACACAATGAACTACAATTACTAGCACTACAACACTGTGATGGAAAACTTCCTAATGGAATGCACTAGGAAGTGATGTGGTGGAGGCTGACTCCATACACAGTTTCAAGTGTAGATATGATAGAGCCCAGTAGGCTCAGGAATCTGTACACCTGTTGATTGACAGTTGAGAGGCGGGACCAAAGAGCCAGAGCTCAACCCCTGCAAACACAACTAGGTGAGTACTGTGCAAGTAATTAGGCGAGTTAGGTGAGTACACACTAACCAACAACTACAACAAATACGGCTTATCCGATTCGCCCGAAACGCTATGCGTACTACCCGCCAAACACACACCGAAACTACGACGTTGGTACAACGTTCGAACAAGTTTGAACACCTCCTAACCAGTTATAACAACCAATATAGCAAGTTGTAACAACGTTCTAATACGTCATAAACACGTTAAGCCAAGATGTAACAACTTTATTACAAGTTGTAACAAGCGGAAAATAGAGACAGTTTCGGTTTGTGTTTCCAGGGTAGTGACTTTAGGTATTGTATGTACTATCTCTATCCTTAAACCCAACATTATGTATGTAACTCAATGTATGTACCTTTACCTGAATAAATAATCTAAATACCGTCTTTGACTTCAGCAGCAACAACATCGACAAAGACAGTGACAAGCACAATTGTTAAAGCAGCCGCGACTGCTCAAGTTTTTATGAGAGTGATAGAGAGTAGATAATTGACTCAAGG